TTTTGACGTCTTGTCTTGTGTGTACATTTACCCTGTGATTTTCTGGGATGCAGATAGTGAATGATCAAGTGTTTATTTAAGTCAAGGTACTTGAAGACGATTCTTTTCAAGAGCACTAAAACTGTTTAGATAAGACCTTCAACAGAGCATCTGAATAAAACACAACAGCTTTATCCTGACCTAGACTTTTATTTGAAAGTAAGTCCCTTTTATCTGAGGGAAACAAGCTAAATCCAAAATAAACAGAAAGGGGATATAAATAGCACCATATACCTCATATTAAATTATCCAGTAACATGATACAATCACTTGTTCATATTTTTATGTGCCTTAAAGCTATAACTATTGGCAACCCTAAAGCAAATTGACCACCATGGGCTTCTCTTGGCAAGATTTGTTCAGATGGAGTTTGCCTTTTCCTCTTTCTGAAGTGGAGAGAGTGTGCTCAAGGTTGCTTTCCATAGCTGAGCAAAGTTTTGAACCTTGGTCTCCAGAGTTTCAGTCCAATGTTCAGATCACGGCAGCTCACTGGCTCTTAATAAACAATAAGTTGTTGTTTATTCATTCGGTCACTTTGACCTCTTTGTGACCTCATGGACCACCCACACCAGAACTCCCTGTTGGTCGGCCGTCTCCATCTCCAGCTCCTTCAAGGTCAAGCCAGTCACTTCAAGGATACCATCCATCCATCTTGCCCTTGGTCGGCCCTCTTCCTTTTTCCTTCCATTTTCCCCGGCATAATTGTCTTCTCCAAGCTTTCCTGTCTTTTCATTATGTGGTCAAAATACTTCATCTTTGCCTGTAATATCCTTCCCTCCAGTGAGCAGCTGGGCATTATTTCCTGGAGTACGGACTGGTTGGATCTTCTTGCAGTCTGAGGCACTTTCCAAATTTTCCTCCAGCACCACAGTTCAAAAGCACCTATCTTCCTTCACTTAGTCTTCCCTATGGTCCAGCTCTCACATCCATAGGTTACTACAGGGAATACCATTGCTTTAACTATGCAGTGGAGCCCCTGGTGGCGCAGTGGGTTAAACCCTTGTGCTGGCAGGACCTAAGGCCGATAGGTCACAGATTCGAATCCCAGGGAGAGCGTGGATGAGCTCCCTCTATCAGCTCCAGCTCCTCGTGCGGGGACATGAGAGAAGCCTCCCACAAGGATGGTAACACATCAAAAACATCCGGGCGTCCCCTGGGCAACGTCCTTGCAGACGGCCAATTCTCTCACACCAGAAGCGACTTGCAGTTTCTCAAGTCACTCCTGACACGACAAAAAAAAACAACTACTACTACTATGCAGTGAGTAGAATCAATAAAATCAGTTCAATGGGAATCAAATATATATACAAACAAAAAGGTTTACATGATGCCAAACAATTTACATTGTTGGTGTAACAGATATTCCTATAATCATTCTTGTCTTCTTTCTCTTCCAAGTCTTTTTTCTGTTCCTAGTATTCAATTTGATAGCTGCCTTCCCAGACAGTACAATGCAACACACACACAAAGCTATTTACATACACAACAGTAAATAAAATGAGTTACAATAAGAAAACAATCTTATTCCTTGGCAGCAAACACCATAAAATATTTCATTGAAAAAATTGGGAGAACAGATGAGCTTTAGAATTTCATCTTGGGAGGAAATCCCATAGGATAATACAATTCAGCTTTCATGCTACAGTTGACAAACATCACTCTAGAGAAATCAAGAAGGAAGGGTTGTGTGCTGTGGTTTACAGATCTCTTTCTGTTCTGGCACATAAATGAATCCAAATTTGCTATAAAAAATGGCAACACTCAAAAAACAGCGGGTGAGCATTCAAGTCTCACAGAGTATGTTGTTCCAGACCTAGGACTGCTGTTTGTCAACAAAGAATTTATAAGAGATGCTATTCTGAGATTGTCAAAGGGTTCCCCCTCCCACTTTCACCGCAGATGTTCAAGGCTAAAATACTTTAAAGGTACCCATTCCATCTGAACTAGTTGCCTCTTGTTGGCAATTGGATGGGTGGCCATGAATGAATATCAAGTGCCGTAGGCTATCTTTCAGAGGAAGAAACTGGCAAAACCACTTCACCTGGAAAAAAAACCCCAATGAAATTCATGGAGTTGCCATAAATCTCCATAAAGTGACTTGAAGGCATACACACATGCATTCAGTTAGTATAGCAAAGCTGTAGGTGTGAGTGTGTTACTACTACTTGTTATCTATGTTATCTATGTTCTTTTCTTATACATATTTTAACTTTCTCTGAAAACATAATACACCTTGCTGTTTATAATGCCCTCCTTTGAACCCCTGTGTATGCTTGTGTATCTGTCAACTGAGAATAACCTCTCACGCATCTGGAGAGGGGAGTCAAGATATACTGAGTACAACACTTCATACATCTGGTGAAGTGAGCTTCACATCCCCCAAAATGTGTATCCCAACAAATTTGTCAAAATTTAAGATCCATTGAGTCTTTCCTGGTGCAGTTTTGTTTCTTTCCCCTTTTAAACGCAAAGTGTTGAGTTCTATTGAAACATCGCACTAACAACCAGATTTTGTTGTTGTTTGCCTAAGTGCCCAGGTTTTGTGGGTCATCTCTAGGCAAAAGTGTTGTTGTGTCACTTAATGTTGTGTTTGTTTTAGGGCAGTGGTTCTCAGCCTTCCTAATGCTGTGACCCCTTAATACAATTACTAATGTGGTGGTGACCCCCAACCATAACATTATTTTCATTGTTACTTCATAACTGTAGTTTTGCTACTGTTATGAATCGTAATGTAAATATCTGATATGCAGGATGTATTTTCATTCACTGGACCAAATTAGGCACAAATACCCGATTTTGTCATTTGGGAGTTGTAGTTGCTGGGATTTATAGTTCACCTACAATCAAAGAGCACACTGAATGCCACCAGCAATGGAATTGAACCAGTGTTGGCACACAGAACTCCCATGACCAGCAGAAAATACTGGAAGGGTTTAGTGAACATTGACCTTGAGTTTGGGAGTTGTAGTTCACCTCCATCCAGGGAGCACTGTAGACTCAAACAATGAGGGATCTGGACCAAACTTGGCACGAATACTCAATATGCTCAAATATGAACACTGGTGGAGTTGGGGGGAAACAGACCTTGACATTTGGGAGTTGTAGTTGCTAGGATTTATAGTTTGCCTACAACCGAAGAGCATTCTGAACCTCACCAATGATAAAATTGAACCCCCAAGACCAACAGAAAATACTGTGTTTTCTGATGGTCTTTGGCGACCCTTCTGACACCCCCCGTGACCCTCCCCCAGGATTGTTTTCTGGCAACCCTAAGGTTTTGGGGTTTTAATGGCAAAGTTTTTTCAAAGAGAGATTGTGTTTGTCATTCTCTGAGGCTGAGAGAGTGTGACTTGCCTAAAGTCACCCAGTGGTTTTCTATGACTGGGTGGCATTCAAACCCGGTTCTCCAGAATTGTAGGTGAATGCTCAAGTCACTAAACAGTTTAGGTTGCCAGGAAGGAGGAATGCCTGACCTCCAGGCTTCTTGAAGAAACAGAGAACCTGTCATATAACTCTGTATGCGAAGCCTGTTATTATAAATCTGTAAGCTGTAGCCCTCCTTACCCTGAGGCTGCTTGCTGGAAAGGAAGGAGGCGATGTCCCAAAAATCATTTTCTAAACAGCTTTCCAGAGAATTACAGGAGAAGCAAGTCTTTAATGATGCAGGTGAACAGGTCCAGAGATCTGACATGCATATGGAGCGAAAGGTGAAGAATGCCACTTGCCAGGGAAGTTCTTCCTAATGATGAGGTGGAATCTCTTGTCTTGTAGTTTGACCCAGTGCTTCGTCTCCCAGTCTCCATCTATATTGCCTACTTAGGCTGGTATAGATGTGCATCAGCTGTGCGAGGGCCAAATGGGGCTGATCCAGGGTAATGTAGGGCAATGTCCTAGTTTCTCCTGCTGCAGAGACAGAGCAATGGATTCAAGCTACAGGAAAAGAGATTCCCCCTATCATTACAAAGAACTTCCTAGTGGCCAGAGCTGTTTGGACTGGGTGGCCCACAAGGTCTCTTCGAACTCTATGATTCTATGACGCTGGAATATGCTGCCTTGGAGTGTGGTGGAGTCTCTTTCTCTTGAGGTTTATAAACAAAGGCTGGATGGCCATCTGTTGGGAGTGCTTCGATTGTGTATTCCTGCATGACAGAATGGGGTTGGACTGTATGACCCTTGGGGATCTCTTCCAACTCTTGTTTCTGTGATCTTCAGTGAAACAGGATGAGGTTGGCCTGAGTAGGTAGGCTACCATTTTTTCTGCGATGAGATGCAAGAGGCCAAGTGGAAATTTCCTGCTGTCATAATTGTGCTCCTGATAATGCAATGCTGCCTTGATATTTTGGGATATAGGGCTGTGTGGAAGGGCCCACAATTCAAAACAGATATTGTGGGATTTTCTGCCTTGATATTCTGGGATGTGTGTGGAAGGCTGTGTGGAAGGGCCCTGTAAGAGCTGTTCAGCAATGTGGTGGAAACTAGCTTTTAAACAGAAGCTGAATGGCCATCTGTTGGGGATGCTTTGAGTGTGCTTTTTGTGCATGGCAAGGAGTTGGATTGGATGGCCCATGCGGTCTCTTCCAACTCTGATTCTAAGGGCTTTTCCACACAGCCCTATATCCCAGAACATCAAGACAGAAAACCCCACAGTTTCTGCTTTGAACTGGGTTATCTGACTCCACGGTTCAAAACCGTTAATGTGGGATTTTTTCCAGCTGTGTGGAAGGAGCCATAGCTACACTTCCTTGATTCCATAGCGCTGAGCCGTGGCATGAAAGTGGTGTCAAACTAATGGTGTAGATGCAACCTTGGGGTTTCTTTCTGTCCCGTGGAAAGCGCAAGTCATGCTTACGGCGGAGCGGTAACACATCGGGAAGAGTGGGTGGGGCGGCCCAGACGAAGAAGAGGCTGCTCCCGGTCCTGCTCCTCCCTCCTTCATCGCTTCCTCCCCCTCCTCTTTCTCTTTCTCTTCCTCCTCCTCCGGGACAAGAGCCCGGCTTCATAAAAGGAGGAGCCATCCTCGCCTCCTTCCTTCCTTCTCTTTTCCTTTGGCAGAAAATGAGCCTGAGCTGAAAGCCGCCGTCTTGAGTCTCGCCATGGAGCCCGCCCTGCCCGTGGTCTTCGTCCGGAAGGAGCCCCTCGGAGGCTACGACAAGACCGCCAAGGTAGGCAGCCAGCCAGCCAGGCAGGGAGGCGCCCAGGCAATCCCAGCCCACTTGGCCCAATGCTCTTGGGATCCTGGCAGCTGGAGTTTGGGGAAGTTAGACTCAGAGTTGGAAGAGACTTTGTGGACCATCCAGTCCAAGCCCCTGCCAAGAAGCAGGAAAATGCCATTCAGCACTCTTTTGGCCAAAAAAGGCTCAAGACCTTGTAAAACTACAACTCCCAGGATTCCACCGCATTGAGTTTGGGGCAGTTAAAGTGGTGTCAAACTAGATTCATTCTACAACGTAAATATGCACTGAAGTTGAGCATCTCTCATCTGAAAGGTTTAAGAAGTGTTTTGGATTTTGGAACACTTGTATATATGTTATGTATATCAGGCCTGGGCCAACTTGGGCCCTCCAGGTGTTTTGGACTCCAACTCCCACCATTCCTAACAGCCTCAGGAATGTTGGACTCCAACTCCCACCATTCCTAACAGCCTCAGGCCCCTTCCTTTTCCCCCTCAGCCACTTAAGCAGCTGAGGGGGAAAAGGAAGGAGCCTGAGGCTGTTAGGAATGATGGGAGTTGGAGTCCAAAACACCTGGAGGGCTCAAGTTGGCCCAGGCCTGCACTACACCATGATAGCTCTCAACAGGCTCTCAACAAAGGACCTGAGGCTGTTAGGAATGGTGGGAGTTGGCCTCCAAAGCACCTGGAGGGCCCAAGTTGGCCCAGGCCTGCACTACACCATGACAGTTCTCAACAAGCTCTCAGCAAAGGATCTGAGGCTGTTAGGAATGGTGGGAGTTGGCCTCCAAAACATTTGGAGGGCCCAGGTTGGCCCATTCCTGCACTACACCATGACAGCTCTCAACAAGCTCTCAGCGAAGGGCCTGAGCCTGTTAGGAATGATGAAAGTTGGAGTCCAAAACACCTGGAGGGCTCAAGTTGGCCCAGGCCTGCACTACACCATGATAGCTCTCAACAAGCTCTCAACAAAGGACCTGAGGCTGTTAGGAATGGTGGGAGTTGGCCTCCAAAGCACCTGGAAGGCCCAAGTTGGCCCACGCCTGGACTACACCATGACAGCTCTCAACAAGCTCTCAACAAAGGACCTAAGGCTATTAGGGATGACGGGAGTTGAAGTCCAAAACACTTGGAGGGCCACCAGCAGAACTAGCAATAACCTGTGCATTGAGTAAGATGTGCTTTTTAGAGAGTCACTCATTGAATGCCGATCAGAATAGAAAAGTTTCATCCATAGCTTGAAAATATTGCTCCCTCCTAAGCAAACCCTGCTGTTGACATTTTGTACAAGGGACACAATTTATCTATGTGATTGTATATCACATTGAGTATCCATGGATTCTGGTTTCCATTCAGAGTCTTGAAACCAAACTTCAGTGGATACCAAAGGCTCTCTGAACTTGTCTGTGAAATGGAAGTGGGGAAGTTGCCAGGCTTCACTTCTCAGAGGAGGGAGTTTCAGGACCTGGGGGAACCAGAATGCCCTTTCCTCTATTCATTCGATCACAGAGTTGGAAAAGACTCCAGGGGCCATCTGGTCCAACCTCCTGTCAAGCAAGAACACATAAGCAAAGCACCCTCGATAGATGGCCATCCAGCCTCTGTTTAAAAGCCTCCATAGACAGAGCTCCTACCACATTGCGAGGCATTGCCGAACACCAGCTCTTACAGTCAGGAAGCTCTTCCTAACTTAAAAACTTCAAGAGATGGAGACTCACCACTGTGAGGTTAGTGGGCCATACAGAAATGTTTTCCCAGAAGGTTCATAAGGGAGAGCATGGTCCTTCAAATACCTGGTTATGATCTTTAAAGCCTGTGTGTGAGGCTTTAAAGAGCATAGCCAGCACTTTGAACTGTGTCTGGAAATGGACCTGTGGCTAGTGGGCTGTCACAAGAGAGTTGTGTGTTCCGGGGATAGCTATCATGCTCCAGGTCTTTGGATCAGTTGAAGTTTCCAACGTTTATCAAAGGCAATCCCAAGTGTAGTGCATTACAGTAATGTATTACTGTATCACAGGCATAGGCAAACTTTGGCCTTTCATGTGTTTTGGACTTCAACTCCCAGAAATCCCATCCAGCTTACTGGCAGTTAGGAATTGTGGGAGTTGAAATCCAAAACACCTGGATGATTGAAGTTTGCAGATGGCTACTGTATCCTGATCAAACTTCTCAAGTTAACTCCTTTCAGCCATCTTGATTTGCTTCCGAAGGGAGTGAAATACACGGTTACAGCCTAATGGGATGGAAAACCTGTGGCCCACCAGATGTTGGTAGACTGCAACTCCCAACATTCCTCACTGGCTGCATTGACCAGGGCTGCTGGAAGTTGTAGTACAACATCTGGATGGCTTTTTGATTCCAGTGTCCTGCCTTAAGAGTTCAAAAGCTCTTTGACGCCGTAGTCCTTTCTTAGATGCAAGACGTACTCATTTCAGCAAAAGCTTGGTCAGGAGTGTAGATTGGCTCTGTGTCTCTGTCTGGGATTTGTGAACTGTGTTTGAACATGTAGGCCTTGGGGAAGCTGGGAAGGCAAAAGATAATATCTTGGCATTTCATTAAAAAGGTAGTCTCCCAAACCTTTTCGAAACTCAGTTGCAAAAATTCTTTAGCATTGTCACCCATATTACCTTTGATGTATGCCACCATCAATGGATGCTGGGGCAGTGGTGGTGCAGTGGGTTAAACCATTAAGCTGTAGAACTTGCTGACCGGAAGGTCGGTGGTTTGAATCCGCAGGTCGTGGTGAGCTCCTGTTGTTAGCCACAGCTTCTGCCAGCCTAGCAGTTCGAAAACATGCAAATGTGTGTAGGCAAATGTGGGAAGGTAATGGCACTATATGCTGTCATGCTGGCCACATGAACTTGGAGGTGTCTACGGACAATGCCGGCTCAACTAGACTTAATGTCAAGGGGAAATCTTTACCTTTACCATGCTGTTCTTCTAGAACTGGGATCCAAGACAGTTGCCAGCCTGTTTTTTAAAGCACAGGAAGCATCCTAAAAATTATTATGTTAAAAGGCAGTTTAGCTTTTCAAATTTTTTTAAAGAATACTTTTCTCTAAGTGTTAATGAAGGAGTAGAGCACTTACCAGCTCAATACCCCCTTTACTAAAAGACTTGTCAATAGGAAGGTCACTTTCCCTCTTTTCCCCTTGTCTACTTTCTCCTTTGGATTTGGAATATTTTGGATTCCAGAATTCTGGATAAGGAATGAATTCTCAGCTTGTACAATCGGTCACAGGCATTGTTTAGCTGTTGGGATGTAGAGGTGTAGCTTATATTACTATGCTTGAATACAGTCGCATTGAGCCTAGCTAGTTGAGAAGCATTTACACCCAAGACTCTGAAAAGCCGATATGTTACAATACGTATATTATGTGGAGTTGCTATTATTGTGGGAGGCACTTCCTGCAGGAAAAAGGCAAGGTAATTTCTTTGGTTGCATTGTAGAAAGTTGTAGCAGCTCTTACTTTACACATGTAATGTGTTTTCACCCCCAAATTTGGGGAATCACTTTGAAATTAGCTTATAAAGTTATTGTTCTGTATTTAGGTAAAGTAATTGAATAATATACATTATTTGCAGATTAATCTTGCCTCAATATTAAAAAGGAAGAATGTGGTCAGATTGGCCTTGTGGTGTCCAATCTGGCAGAGTTTCCAAAGTGTTTCTGTGATCTCATTATGTTCTTTTAGGTACTACCATATATACTCAAATATAAGATAAGGTTTTCAGTCCCTTTTTAAGGCTGAAAAAGGTCCCCTCAGGTTATACTCGAGTCAAGGTTATTTATTATTTTACTCTGTTGTTGTTATTATTATTACATTTATTTTACTCTTTTATTGTTATATTTAGATTATTTTACTCTATTAATATTATTACATTATTATTTTCTCTATTATTACTACATTTATCATTTTACTCTATTATTATTGGAAGGATACGTAAGCATATTTACATTGAAGGTTAGCGTAATGGTTTAATCAGAGTGGAACAGTCTTATCTTAAATTACAGTTTTATGTAAATATTCAAAAACATTGAACCTATTGATGCTTCAATTAATGTAATGTTATTGGTATCTATTTTTATTTTGAAATTTACCAGTAACTGCTGCATTTCCCACCTTTAGTTTATACTTGTGTCAATACGTTTTCCCAGTTTTTTGTGATAAAATTAGTTGCCTTGGCTTATATTTGGATTTGTTTATACTTGAGTATATATGGGTATTTTAATTTCAATTCTAAGAACGTCAGGCCATCTTCTGATGACTTGTGGAAATTGCAAACTAATAAAATCTAGACTCTAGAGCAGCTTCCTAAACTTTTTGTATTGGTGATACGCTTTCTAGACTTTCTAGAGCAGTGGTTCTCAACCTGTGGGCCCCCAGATGTTTTGGCCTTCATCTTCCAGAAATCCTAATAGCTGATAAACTGGCTGGGATTTATGGGAGTTGTAGGTCAAAACACCTGGGTTGAGAACCACTGTTCTAGAGTCAAGTGGAGTCTACTTCTCTGGACGTCGTTGAACTGAGGCTGGATGGTTGTCTGTTTCGAGGCCATTGACTGTATCTTCCTGCCTGGCTGAAGGAGGTTGGACTAGATACCTTTTGGGGGGATACCTTCCTCCTCCTCCTCCTTGCTCTACTCAGTGCTGCCTTTGTTGGTGGGTTTGGGATGGGATGTGGAGCATTTTTCAGCTGACACATCTGTGGACTACAGGCGACACACTAATGTGCCCTGACCCACAGTTTAGAAAGCTCTGCTCTAGAGAATCAAACTTTCCCCAGCCTTTTATTAAACTCTGTATAAGTTCTACTGCTACCACTACTAAATTTTATTTCTTATTCCTCTCTACCCCAGGCTCGAGGCCGAATACAACATAAATTGAAATACAATATATAACTAAAAACGCATACCGGCATTTAAAATACATAGATTTAAAACATAGAAACATTAGATTAAGATACACACCATTACACAATAATCATCCACACATATAAAAATGTCAATTTACAATTCATAGTTTGAAATTGCGCAGGCCTGCTGGAAGAGATAGGTCTTTCATTATGTTTTAAACTCTGACAGCTTGCTTAGCTGTTGAATCTCTTCGAGCAGGTTATTCCACTGTCTAGGGGAGACCAACAGAAAGGATTTCTGACTGATGGTTGCCAGTCTAGACCTGCTTGGTTTAAGTAAATGTTCACCTGAGTATATGAGGCGAATTGTACAGGAGGAGGTGATCCTGCAGTCAACCCAGATCAAGTCATGTATGGCTTTAACCAACTTCAGTACTTTGCCCAGAAACTAATTGGCGACCAGAGGAGTGATTTTAATATGGTATTAATATTATGCTCTTCCTCCTGGGTGTACCTATAGCCAATCTGACTGGCACATTTAGAATTAATTGGAGGTCCTGAACTTCGTACAGAAATAACCCAAAGTACAGTGCATTGTAGAAGTCAAGCCATGGTTAACTCTGGGAGACTAGCATTCAAATATCCAATCAACCATGGAGACTTGCTACCTGACTTTGGACAAGTTACAAACTCTCAGCCTTAGAGGAAAGCAGTCCTAAACCTATTAAGAAAATCCTATGACTTTATCAAAAATTGAAATCACCTGCAAGATTGCAGAACCTTATAGTTTTTCTCCCTCACATCACCAGTGGAAGCATTTGCAAAATAGTAATTCAGGAATGAGGTGGGTATGCGACAAACACAAAGGATTAAAGAACAAGGGTGACTCTAAAGCCTATGCTCAGCCCAGCATCTTTAGTCATAGAACAATGTTTCTAGCCTGTTCACACAAAATGCACCCCATGTTTCCTGTCTTCATCTTTCACATCCCCCCATCTTTACATCCAGTTTTATACAGGAAGAAAAAGCTCAGCTGTATAGTAATTGTTATCAAACAATTGGAAATAAAAACAATTGAAGATCCACAGCAAACTCTTGTTTGAGATTTGGTTCCAGGACCCCAAGTGGATGCCTAGGCCCACATATGCAGAAAGCCCAACTAAACCCAATACTTAAGTTGGGTTTTCTGCCTCTAATGAGTTGGGTTTTCTGCCTTTAACACAACTCTCTATGTTTTGGGTGGGATGGTTATTTGTTTATGTATTTTCCTTTTGTATGGCATTGAATGGTTCCTGACTTTGTTGTTCATCGCCCTGAATACCTTCGGGGAGATAGGACAATATATAAATAATTTTATGCTATCTTTTACCTAATAAAAGGTATCACTACAATATGGACTACATAATTTGTTTCATGCTTAAAATGACCACCTTGCATCCAGATAAATAAAATATTCCACTGCCAAAAGCTAGGGCCTTCTGTCTGTGCCATAATTGCCATTTTATTATTGGGTATGTCTTCCATCTTCTGTCACTACAGTAAGTGGGCATCGAGCATTTCCCTGGATGCAAACAGATAGATGAACCAGGCCATTTTTGTATTGTTTATTTTGGCTCCTAGTGTAGTGTGAGCCTAATTCAAACACAGGGACTAAATTTCAGCTGACAGGATATGGAGATTAATGGATGCACTTTCCAGACCCAAGCTGTCAACAATCATTTGTGGAATTCAGACAGTCATTATGCCCAAATAATGGCAGCCAGTCTACAAACGTGGACCAGGAGACAGATTCTCCTGTGGGTGCAGCATGGCACCATCTGCATTTCAAGCTTATAAGCCAAAACTCAAACGGGATACATGCCAGCAAAAGAGTAGTCTCATGCATGGTTACTCTCGAGGGTATACTTATGCAAATATTCCCGGGAAGCCAAGGAAAATAATCCCTTTTATTAGCTGGTGGGTCCTGGTTCCATATAATTATTGCCTCTGCAACAGGCACCTTGGAACCCTCTCATATTCTTCCCACCCCTTCCAGGAAAAAAAATACTATGTTATCATGACCTCACATCTCTTTTGATGTGATCTCTGTGCCATGACAGAATTCAAGGAAGTTTTTTTTTGGATTGGAGCTCTTAACAATCTTCCAGCTGACTGAATCAATAGAGGGAGAGATCTAGGGATGTAGGGATTTATTATCCAAAAAGTAGGTTCCCCAAGCTGTCCTTGTGCCTGCTTCTCTTGTAAAACGCAGGGCTCTTCAGTGCATGAGTGCTGGAAAAGTTTTGTTGCAAGTACACACCTAAAAGGAAGAAAACTGGCAAATCAGGTTTTAAATTATTTTTGAAGATATATGAGGAATAGCTATATGAGGAATAGCTTGGCATAGCCAGCAAGGCAGTAAAAATGCTAATAAAAATGCTTCTGACCTGTTATATGTGCGTCTCACAAGTATTTTTGCAGGAAGGGGTGGAGAAAACAAGATCCAACTAGATTTGACATGCAGCTGCCTCTATCTTTCCCTGAATTTGATATGCAGATTTTAAAATAAAATGCCACTTAGTATTAGAAGAAGAGGAGAGAGGAAAAGGAGCTCATTAATTCTCGGTCCTTTGGCCAGCTTTTTGCTCAATCTCCCTGGCACAACCATCTACTTCTCCCCCTTGTGGCATTAGGATGGGAAAAGTTTTTACCAGAGTTTCTCATTACAATGTTGAGTACTAGAAAGTCTGTCAAAGCAAACAGAATGTTAGGTCTGTTTTCTTTTTAATCATGTGGCAATCTTATATTTTCCCCCCAATAAAAATGTCATGCCATAGCCCAGGGGTGGGACACATGCAAACATCCAGATGTTGTTGGACTATTGAATCTATTGAACATGGCCAACAGTATAAAATGCTAGGAGCTGCAGTTCAGCAACATCTGGAAGGCGACATGATTCCCATTTCGCCCTTAGCTGGATTCAAGGATGTTTTGACTGCATTATCCCATCTTACCCACCATCTTGGACTGGCTAAAGATGGTGGAGGTTGTGGTACATAGCTTGATCTGCTTATGTGCCTTGGCAATAAATGTAATAGTGCTGTCTCCAAAGGACAAACAAGCCTCATGTGTTAAACACAAGGCAATCGTTTCTTGGTATATTGAATTCTTGGTCAAAGGTTTGCATGCAAAATAAACTTTCAATAGTAATGGAAACATCTGTAAAATGTGACATTTAGCTTGTTTCATTTCCCAAAAGCTGCCAAAACTAAAACACCCTCTTAGCTTACAGTAGACCTGTCACTGCACTTACATGTCGCTGAAAAGCCTTCTAGGGAGGATGTCAGAATAAAAATTGACCCCCATATTTTCTTTCATTAGAGGGCATAACAATGTTGGAACATGGCCTGTAATAAGTGAAATTATCTCAAGTGTGATAGAAGATACCACCTGATCTAATGTCTTTTTGCCACTATATGTGGCATAGAGAGGAGGCTGTCATTTTGTCATTTCTGTCAGCCAGAAAAATATATTGGATCTACCCTGGTAAAAGGTTGTGCAAGGCACTTCTGTCTGAATGCATGGAATGGCATTATTTGGAGATTTATTATTATTTATTATTTACTATATTTGTATCCCACCTTTCTCGCCCTGGAGGGGACTCAAGGCAGCCTTACAACAGGCAGCAATGTGATGCCAAACATACATTTCTCAATACACAGTTACAATTACAAACCATTAAAACATAAATTATTAAAGCATCAATTAAAATCACATCATCCAAAACGTAATCCAGGGGCATTTATCCATTTATCAACACATTAATTCATAGTCACTTAATTGCACTGCTCCACTTATTTGTCAAAAGCTTGGTCCCAGAGTCTTTTTCTGAAGGTCAGGAGAGGGGGGGGGGTGATCTAATTTTGTTGGGGAGGGAGTTCCATAGACAAGGGGCCGCCAACTAGAAGGCCCTGTCTCTCGTCCCCACCAGTTGTGCCTGCGAAGGAGATGGGATCGAGAGCAGGGCCTCCCTGGATGATCTTAACCTCCGAGATGATTCATCGGGCGAGACATCTTTGTACAGATAAGCTAGGACAGAACCATTTACAGTGGTTCTCAACCTGGAGTCCCCAGATATTTTTGGCCTACAACTCCCAGAAATCCCAGCTAGTTTGCCAGCTGTTAGGATTTCTGGCAGTTGTAGACCAAAAACATCTGGGGACCCCAGGTTGAGAACCACTGATTAGGGCTTTATAGGCTAAAGCCAGCACTTTGAATTGTGCTCAGTAGCAGACTGACAACCAGTGGAGCTGGCATAACAGGGGGGTTGTGTGCTCCCTGTACCCTGTTCCGGTGAGCAATCTGACTGCCGCCCATTGGACCAATAGAAGTTTCTGAACAGTCTTTGACAAGTAAATTGCATTGCAGTAGAGAAAGTATTTAGCTCAATGATCTAATTCTGAATTTAAGCAGCTTCCTGTTTCCTTAAAAATGAATAAAAATAAATAAAACAATTTTTGTAGAATTCTTTTCTTATCATATGAATGCTTCTCTTTCATCTTCAATTTGTATCATTACTGTGTCCCTTTTCATGAACCGTTTTCTGGGTTTGCTTTCTTTAGGCACACCGCGAAGGAAAGCTTCACAAGTTGCTTGACGTGAATGGCCGAGCAGAGGGAGCGTCATATGACTATGATCTGATAGTCATTGGAGGGGGTTCTGGTGGACTTGCAGCATCCAAGGTAGGAGCAACAAAAACACTCATGAGAGAAGCTTGGTTTTGCAGGTCAGTGGAGTGCTGAATCTACTCTGGGTTTCAGTCTAAACTTTCAAGGCAATATCCAATTTATTTTGAGGTTAGGTTTCAGTGTCTTGGATAGTATATTTAAAGTTCAGGCTAAACTTCAGAGTAGATTTGTTGCTCCATTGATGTCCAAGTCTCCAATCGTTTCTGAATCACGACTTATTATCTCTCTGGAATCCTCTCCTCCATGTACCACACTTCTCCAAGGTTTTAATGTCCAGGGGATTGCACCCTTCTTGCTGATAGAAACAACTGAATGCAATCTTTAGCTTTTTCTGTCACTACAGCTCCTCCATTCATCAGAAGCTTTCAGATTTGCCAGCTGGATTTGACTTGGCATAGATACTTGTCCCTTATTTACTTTTTACTGAGCAGCAAATAAATCTCAGATTATCTTGAGAGGTGTTGAAGTTGAAGGAGCCCATGTTTACTTTTGAAATTCTGTCCTGATATAATATATTAAGTTATTTGTAACATATGCAAGGTATGTATTAGATGTCCCAATATGATAGGATTTTGCCTCCCATGAGCCCTAGCCTGAATATATGATGGGATTTGAAGTCCAACTAGTTTTAGAGTGGGGACCACACAGTTCCTTATCCTTTCCTGCTAATAAGACTTTTAATGAAAGTGCATTAATTTTAGAATTCAGAACAGAACTGCTGATAAATAATTATCTGAAATGTTAACCTTGGGCATGAAATGTGCAAGGTTCTTTAGGCTTAATATTTTCCATTTAGCCCTCTGATTGTTCAATAAAATAGGAAAGAGAATTTTAATAGCTTTGAAGGAGCACAACTGAGTGATGTGCTCATGAATGATGTAGATTTTTTAAAAAGCAGACACTGTTGATCATCTCCTGGAAAATTAGTAGAATGAATTTGGGATAAACAGAAAGAGGGGATTCATAAATACTGCCTATAAAGAGAGGAAGAGAACATATCTTTCAGGCAGTCTTTTCTGAAACACATTTGTGAGTTGGACTATTTCCCTAAGTTTTTGGCATAGGGAATTTGATTGGTTTCACATGATTTGGATTGTAGCTCCCACTTATCCAGCTGGCTTGACCAATGGCAGTTGTAGTTGAAAACATCAGGAAAACCCTGTGTTACCGACCCTCTCTGTGCGAGAGATTTTTCCAGGAGCATCAACATGAAATTAGCTATCCCAGTGTTGTGTTGTCGAAGGTTTTCATGGCCAGAATCACTGGGTTGCTGTGAGTTTTCTGGGCTGTATGGCCATGTTCCACAAACATTCTCTCCTGATGTTTCACCCACATCTCTGGCAAGCATCCTCGGAGGTTATGAGGTCTGTTGGAAAGTATTGTTTATACCCAGGATGTGAATCCAGGTGGCCCTTCAGTTTAAGCGTTGGACTACAACTCAGGATGGAGCGTTGGACTACAACTCAGGATGTAGCCCTTGGTGGCACAGTGGGTTAAACCTCTGAGCTGCTGAACTTTGCTGATCAAAAGGTTGCAGGTTTGAATCTGGGGAGTGGCGTTAGCTCTTGCTGTTGGCCTCAGCTCCTGCCAACCTAGCAGTTCAAAAACATGCAAATGTGAGTAGATCAATAGGTAACGCTGGCCTCATGACCTTGGAGATGTCTACGAAGAACACCGGCTCTTTGGCTTAGAAATGGAGATGAGCACAACCCCCAGAGTCGGACACAACTGGACTTAATGTCAGGGAAAAGCCTACAACTCTGGAGAACTAGGCTTGAATCTCTGCTTTGCCATGAAAACCCACTGGTTGACTTTGGGCAAGTCATACACTCTTAAGCTTCAGAAAAATTATGTAATAGGGTCAACTTAAATTGGAAATGACTTGAAGGCACACAACAACAATTTCAGATTTTGTGGAATTTCAGTTCCTGGCATTGCTTATGGTGTCTAGGAGTTCTAGAAGTTACAATCCAGTGAGCTCTAGGGGACCCCAAATGAGTTGCCAGAGTTTTACAGAAGTCTATCCTACTCTTATCTAGGGAGAAAATGGGTTAGATTTAGGGCCACTTCAGTGTAAAACACATGCTCATTTTATACATTTGAAAATTAAACCGAGGAGCCAAGGGAAATGTCACTTGCCCTTAGCTGTAAGGGTACTTCATAAAGATTTTATTATATTCCTGCTAATACCCCAGGGTAATTTTGGTACTAATTATTTCACTTCTTCATGGCTTCTGCTGTGATTTAATTGGTGGTTCCCACAGTCTGTGTTTCATTATGATGGTAAGATATGTAGTTGCTTTTTAGTAGAGGCTTGCTGCTTCTTCAGATGATATGCCAGTGGTAAGGTATGAAACCAGCATATTAGGCACATAGAGAATGAAGATCTCAATTCCTGCATTATTTTAGATGTGCAAACTCTTTGTAATTTATATTTTAATGATCTCTGGCAAATTAGATATGAGCTAAGCATGGGACATAGTTGATCATGAATGCAGACAGTACATAACTATCACAGGTAAGTAATCAAGTGTAAAACTTGAGGGATTGCTTTTATTATCTAGAATTCTCTGGCCATAATGGTGGATGATGGTTTCCTTATAGTTAGTTCTTTCTTGCAATAGCTAAGAAATTAATGCCCCCTCCCCGGTGGCGCAGCATGTTAAACCGCTGAGCTGCTGAACTTGCTGACCAAAAGGTTGGCAGTTCGAATCGGGGGAGTGGGGTGAGCTCCTGCTGTTAGCCCCAGCTTCTGCCAACATAGCAGTTCGAAAACAAGCAAATGTGAGTAGATCAATAGGTACTGCCTTGGTGGGAAGGTAATGGCGCTCCATGCAGTCATGCTGGCCACATGACCCTGGAGGTGTCTATGGACAATGCCAGCTCTTCGGCTTAGAAATTAAGATGAGCACCACCCCCAGAGTTGGACATGGCTAGACATAATGTCAGGGGAAACCTTTATCTTACCTTTAAGGAATTCACATTGCAAGTATAATTTTGTAATGTAATTCTTCCGGGAACCTTTAGAGCTACAAAGGAGTGTGTGGCCTCGTTACTTAGATGTGTGTGTGTTTTTATCACATACCAATGGCATGGTAAATTTTGTTATTCCCTTAAAGTGGTGTCCCCCAGATTCTCGCTTTCCAGGTGTTTTGGACTTAAGGCCCCAAAATCCCTAGTCATTGGCTAAGGCAGATGAGGCTTCTGGGAGTTTAAGTTCAAAACACCTGGAAGACTAGAGTTTGGGAATCACTGCTTTAAAGTAATTGCTAACTTTGGAATAATGGCAAAATAAAAAATTCTGTAGTAAACAGTATTAAATCAACAAAAATCATTTTTGCCTTGGAACAGTACTTGTAGCTTATTTGAAAAATAACTTATCAGGCTCTTAGCTTCATTCCTTCCACTCCCACCCCAACATTTGAAAGTCCCTAAACTTCACGCTTTTAAAGGGATTTAAGCATGCAGCATCTGTGTTAGAGTAAAATATGCAAAGCAATTTTATCAGTTATGCTTGGGCTCAATAGACTTATGCTGTTGTTGGCTAACTCACAAGAGAAATAAATTGTCTCTATTTAGGTATTTATATATACTCGGCTTTTCCTTTGCCAATTCATTAGTAGCTGGGAATGGGTCACACACCCATTATAATTGGATTTTTAATTCGTTGGCACTTGTATTTGTGTTCTTCATGGTGACGTGACATACCTGTCTCGTGTTATTGGGCCTCATGGTTTAACTTTGTAATGATATTCTCCCCACGTTTGCTGCTGCTTATGACTTTCTGGGTGTGAGGATCTATAAACACATTAATTTATAACAGTTAATTCATGATGAATAGGTTCTGGTCCTCAGAATCTTATGCCACAATCTTGCATTAGTGTCTGCCCCCAGATTGTTGCGGTCTGCTGCAACAATTATTACTGTTCTTTTAACTAGACCTTGTGAAAGTCTCCGTTCTCACTTTAGAATCATTCTCGTCCTGTGACTGTAGCAGCCACAATTGGGAGGTGAGCAAGGCTGCAGGGTGTTGGACACTTGACATTGAGAGGGCATTCTGGTGCCATCTTAATGGCTTGATTGCTCTTTTGGAGGCCACAGTGGAGAACTAAAATGGAAAGTTGCTGATTATATTCTGTTGTTTATCATGGCAATCCCAATGTTGGTATTAGTGGTGGGCTCTAATCTGCACTGATGGCCCAACTATTGCCTCTGGGAATGGCACACATTAAGGGTATGACTTGGAAAGGTGGCATATTTTACATGACTGATATCCTCAGTTTTGGTTAGATGCTTAAGGGGCAAACCAGGCATCCTATTATTAACACCTGGGATATGTATGTCTGCTTAACCTGCCTGTATTTCCTCACACAAGCTATGTAGTCTTGATTAGGGACGTAGTTCCAATCTAGACCAAGGATCACATTAGATTTCTGACCAACCTTCCCTCAACCATGTCTGTGATTCCTGTTTGCTTCTGGTGGTACCTGTTCTAAAATACAGAACAAATAAGAATTGGGGTGGTGATGGTTTTTGTGCAGCTGCCTTTTCTCCAAAAGAAGTGGTGCATTTAAGTTGCTGTTGTGTGCCTTTTAAGTGGTTTTTAATCCACAAAAAATCTTGTTCCTTTCAAGTATTTTTAGTACATCTTACATTTCTGTTTTATTGCATCCTGCTATTTTTTTAATGTTGCAAACTGTTGTTGTGTTCCTTCATCTCATTTCCGAGTTATAGCGATCCTAAAGCAGAACCTGCCATGAGATTTTCTTGGCGACTTGAGAAACTGAAAGTCACTTTTGGTGTGAGAAATTGGCCGTCTGCAAGGATGTTGCCCAGGAGATATCCAGATGTTTTAACATCCTGTGGGAGGCTTCCCTCATGTCCCCACATGAACCTGCTAAATTCTCACATGAACCCGCTAAATTCATGCTACATTGGAAATACCAGTGTAGGTGTTGCGGTTTAAGCATGGCAACTCTGGAACCTAGAGTTCGAATACCCACTCAGTCATGATTCTTTCGGCAACTCACTGGAGCCCCGGTGGCGCAATGGGTTAAATGCTTGTGCCTGCAGGACTGCTGACCGAAAGGTCGGCAGTTCGAATCCGGAGAGCAGGATGAGCTCCCTCTATCAGCTTCAGCTCCTCATGCGGAGACATGAGAGAAGCCTCCCACAAGGATGGTAAAACATCAAACATCCGGGCGTCCCCTGGGCAACGTTCTTGCAGACGGCCAATTCTCTCACATCAGAAGTGACTTGCACTTTCTCAAGTTACTCCTGACACGAAAAAAATGATATAATGTGTAGCTTATTTCTCTGATTTGAATAATGACCATTGCAATGTATAAGCTTACCATTTCATATACTCTATTATTCATAATTATTTGTCTTCCAGTACTTAAATACAAGTCATGACTTGAAGACTAAGACTGAGTTTATGTGCCCATGTCACTTAAAAGTTGCATCACTTCAGGTCTGAGGGAAAAAAGCTAAAACAATGAGTTATTGTGGAATATAATACCATGTTGATCCAAAGTCTTTAAGGACCATTCATGTAATGAATGCTACCTATCATTTGACGAAGTTGTGGTTAATTCAGGCAGCCAGATTATCCTCTGGCATTTAATTAAGTTCATATTGTTACAGTTTATTTCCCCCAGCCCCCAGCATTCAGCTAAATGTTGCGTTTGCTTCACGATTAAAGTAATTGCCATGAAAATCCAATCTTGTGTTTTCATCAAAAGAGAAAATGAAACAGGGAATTGAATGAAATTTCTCTGAGAGGTTTCCTCACCTCATCCCTTTCTCTCACATGCTATAGGCAAAACCAAAATAACAAATCCATCTTGACAATATGTTTTCCCAATAATTGACTGTCATGCCGATTAGTAATTTGCTCGGGGGAAGAATTGCCCCTTGTGATGTGTGGTTACTTATGCACAAATAAAATCCCACTGTTTTCAAAATCAGCATCAGTTCCATGGGTGTTTAGGATAATATCAGGTATAATGACTGTAATTATGGGGAATTACATGTGTTATAATGCAGCCTGTATATTATTGTAGAGACACTTATGTTTCCATTTTGACTGGTCTTCCCACACATTCAGTATTTAGTCAGTTGCTGGTGGTTCAGTGTAAAACTGGCTTAATCTTGGATTGGTACACAAGTTAAATAGGATAATGCTGATATCAGTTTTGATAAGCTGGACCAAGATGTACACCTGATCTTCTAGACCAGTGTTTCTCAACCTGTTTTTGATCATGGACCATTTGACCAGGGACCACTCTCCAATATTAGTAGCAAAAGGGTTACAAATAAGTTTTTGGTCCACTTTAGATTTGGTTTGGTTATTTGGGGCACTGATTTTAAAAATTGCATTGGATACAGGCATGTAACCCCCCAAAATTCTCAGGGTGGTCTGTGAGAAGGCCTTACTGGTACATTATTTAAACTGTTATGTTTATTTATATCATGCTCTGATCACCATGCTCAATATATCCCATATGCATGAGGGTATTGGGATAACAATACTAAAGGTTTGCTAGGGTAGATCCTCACACCGCCCCCCCCCCCCGAATCAAACTCAGCCTCCCCCGAGTCAAAATCCTGGATACGGGCCTGATTGGATGAACCACATCAGCTCAAGTTTCTGATACAGAACATATGCCATCCAGTAGTCACCATCTGCTTGCCCACAGAAAACCATATTTCTTAATAACCTAGAGCTGATGTGGTAGTAGTAATCTTTTGTGGGTAGTCAGCCTCTCCCCTCTGACATTCCCATTGTCTCAGCACTATAAGAGGGTTTTGAGAGATCAGTCGTTCTCATTGCCATGTGGTTTTGAGGCAATGGTGAGGCCACGGACCATATTTTCGTTCTTGTGGACCACTGGGGGTCCACAGACCACAGGTTGGGAACCACTGTTCTAGACAGAGAGAGGCAGCATGGTGTTCTGGCTTGAATGTTGTGCTTGGATTGGAGCAGACCAGGGTTCAAATGTCTGCTTGATCATGGAAACTGACAAGGTGACTTTGGACAAGTTCCACTCTCTAATTTTCAGAGGAAGGCAATGGTAAATCCCCTTTGAAGCAGTCTCGTCAACAAAAACCCCATGATTGGTTTGCTTTGCAGCAGTGGTTCCCAACCTTGGGTCCTCCAGGTGTTTTGGACTTCAACTCCGAGATTTCCTAGCTAATTTACCAGTTGGGAATTGTGGAAGCTGAAGTCCAAAAGCACCTGGAGGACCAAAGGTTGGGAAACACTGCTTTACAGTCACCATACATCTAAATTTCAGTTCTTATAACATAGTTGGAAATGATGGATGGTGTAATATGCGATTTGAAGTTCAAAAAGTTGAGAGAAAGTTCAGCTTGTTAGTAAGAATAAGAAGTAAGAAGTGCTATTTTCTTATTTGGAAATGGCTCTGAACTCTTACCAGGTTGTTGCCACAGCCTTTTGGGATGTAATTGGTTGCTATTGTTCTGTTTGCTGCATAACAATGGGCCATTGCCTAACTTCTTTAATGACTGGGTCATTGTGTTACTTCAGGGTTGGTGTGGGTGCTGCTGCTATCCATTTTACTCCTCTTCCTCATTCGTGGTCACTGAGCATTAACAGTGGGCAAGCTGCTAATTTAGACTCCTGGCCACAACCTTTGACATCAACAAGAGGAGCTCAACTTCTAGTTCCTAGGAAGAGCAGCAACAGTGCATGATGTAACTTCTTAAAGATGGCCAAATTTGTGATGAAATAAAGTTTTGTCAGGTACACAATTGGTTAACCTCAAATTTGCAGATTTATTTACCACCTATGACACAAGGTATACCAATTTGTGGTGAATTTGCCCATTTGATGTTGATACATAAGGTATCTGTTGAACTGGACAGCTACTGTGAAAGCTTATGTATTAATGATTGCTGAGAGCCCAGGGCAAAGTGCCTGAACGCCTTCCGACCTTAAATCTAGCAATTAGACATTATAATCACTTTGAGCCGAGGAGATACAACACTTACTTTGTAATGTATTATTTCCTCACTGTCTAGGGCCACAGAGGTCTCCACCCAAGGAGTTCTCCCATTTCTACTCCACCATGTCTGTAATGAATATGTTAGCCCTTGAAGTGACACAAGGTTCTTATTCTTTTGGTCAACAGAGTAACACAACCATTCCCTTAGAAATAGTTTCTGATTAGGACTGTGGATCTTCATTTCTTCAGTGGTACGGCCATAAACCACTGACCCTAGGGTTGTATGCACTCTCAGCCCAGTTTCAAAACCTTGTCCTTCAATCACATTAGACCTATGGCAAGAGCAGTTTGTGACATCCCTAGAACCCATTGCACCAGAATGTGAACTTTGATTTTTAAATAAAGCGTCTCCTTTTCTGCTTTAGGAGGTGGAATGGTGACTTTATTGTGTGTTTTTGTGCTCCTTCAAGTTGTCTATTAGTTTGATGCCAGCCCATGAATTTCATAAGGTTGTTTTAGGAAAAGAATACTCGGACATGATTTTTGTAGTTCCTTCCTTGGAAACAGCCTACACCACCTGCTATCCATTGGCAGTCTGCTGTCCAAGTACTAGCTTGCCCTTGGAAAAAAATCCCTGTGAGGAGGAGAAAAACACTACAAACAGCCCAGTGATGACTGGGTTGGCTCAGTGGTCATGGAGTACTGACTGACTATGGAAGAGAATTGAAAGCCAATGGGAAAGAGAAATAGGAGTTAACTAAACTGGAAGTGAGAACGACTAGTGCCAGCCCAGTCCCTGGACAATATTAGCCTCGTACCCCCATCTTCTATCCCGGACAGTCCCCTAGTAGGCCTTGGAATTGAGCAGCCACAGGCCTCACTATTACTATGGTATGGAAGTACCTTACCCATTCTTCCCATGTCCTGTTTTTGCAGTAGTCTTGATCCAGTCCTTTTAATTTACCTAGGCCCATTTTTGAAATTCTTGCCCTAACAGTAATTTTTGCACGAAGAATTGGGTGGAATTGGTTTTTAATGTATTTGTGTTGTTTTGGGAAATCTATGCTTATGTTTTGCGTACTCTGTATGTTGAGTGTTTTGCTATTTGAAAACCACCCTGAGTCCCCTAGGGGAGATAGAGCGGTATGTAAATAAAGATTATTATTATTATTATTATTATTATTATTATTATTATTATTATTATGAGGGCATACCTGGGTGATAGCACATTTTCTTGCAGGTTCCACAGTACCTATAATGCAACATTTTGCATATTTGCAATTTATACTGTTGGTGTAATTTCTATCTTTCAAAAGTTTGTTTTTATTTCATATCCAGGAAGCTGCCAAACTTGGCAAGAAGGTCATGGTTCTAGATTTTGTGGTCCCAACTCCCATGGGAACAACATGGGGTAAGTAATTGCTTGTCAATTTTTGTTGTTTTGAAAGCTGCCTTTTTAGGTTTGGGATTTCAGTTGATGTGACTCGTGTTCCTTAGTTTTTTTTTTAATGAAATGTTGAGTTGTAATTCCAAGCAACTTCAGTGATTCATAAATCAATAAATAAGGTTGGTGAGAGTTGCAGTTGAACAACACCTAGAGTCCCACAGGTTACCCACTCTTGACTTATAGGCAATTGTGTTTTCCCTCCTTCAGGAGAAGGTGGAGACAGCTGTTTTGTAAAGTATTTCCACAGAGAAGGCTGACAGCTACTACAAATCAGAGTTTCTAGTGATTGTGCCCTTGTTTGTTATGATTTCCAGTTCCCATATGAAACAGAATATGTCTCTTTCCATTTGCAGGACTTGGAGGAACTTGTGTGAATGTAGGCTGCATACCTAAAAAGCTCATGCACCAGACAGCTTTGCTTGGGCAAGCCATACGAGATGCTCCTAAATTTGGGTGGAAGTTGGACGACAAGGGTAAGAATATAGAATGCATTTATCTTGTATATTCTTGTTTAGAGCACTAAACTAGAAAAAGAGGAAGTAAAGAAACAAGGAGACATTGAGGGGTTCAAATAAGCTGCCTTGAGTCCCCTTCAGGGTAGAGAAAGGTGAGGTAAACAGGGTCAATCAATCAATCAATATTTCAAGACTTCTTTGTTTAAAGTGCAAAAAATATGTATACTACAAGAAATTGTTATAGTTACATTTAAAATCTCTTGTAATAAGCAGAGGGATACTGACAGTACAAACAAGAGTGCCTAGAAGGCATAGTGAAGTGTATTCACTCATAACAAAGAGATTGGTACAAACCTATAATGAAATCAAAGCAAATACAAATTTTACATATGTAAGACCTTCTCTTTTTTAAAAAAAAATGGCTTGGGTGATTTCAAAACATGCTGACGCAGCAACATACAAAGTATTTTGCACCTTGTTCTTCCGCCTCATTATTTTCACGTTGTGTCAGCAAAACTCCACAAACTGGGCAATTTTAATTTAATTTTCAAGAAGGGGAGGGGCATAGCCATGAGGCATGTGTGGGTCTGTTATTAGGCAACTGTTAATGGAAACTGAATTCCTTGGGAAACTCAAGACGTAAATGAAAACTAAGTTGTCTTTCTTTTAATGTTCAGCCATAAAGCACAGTTGGGATACCATGACGGAAGCGATTCAGAATTACATCGGCTCTTTGAATTGGGGATATAGGGTAGCTCTCCGGGAGAATAACGTCACATATGAAAATGCTTATGGAGAATTTGTTGGTCCACACAGAATAAAGGTACTGAATCTCTTCTCTTTTCCATCTTTTGCATCACAATTCTTGCACTTCTTTTCCTGGGAGGTTGTTGACCTATTGGTATGAAATTAGAAGATACAGCTTGATATGGCAGCCAGACCCCAGCAAGGCATTCTAGATCAGGAATAGGATCATCTGACCCACCAAGTATTTGTGGAATGCCAGGCAGATGGGAGTTGCAGTCCAAAAGCATCTGGAAGGCCACAAGTTGCCTCACCTTGAGTTTGCCAGGAGATTTGTTAGGAGAACCAAGGCTTGACAACTATGGGCAGCATTTCATGGTCCCTTATCCATGAAAATTTAGAATACAAAACACGTTGTGTCTTTTAGCAGCCACAGGTTCATTTGCAAACAAATAGATAAACAGAAAGAGTTGTAAAGGCTATATAGTTTCTGTCCTGTGGTTAAGAAACAAAAGTACTCTTCCTGTCATTTTATTCCTAGGCAACAAATAATAAAGGAATAGAGGCATTTTACACAGCAGAAAAGTTTCTGATTGCTACTGGAGAAAGGCCTCGCTACCTGGACATCCCTGGGGACAAAGAATATTGCATCACTAGGTAAAAAGAAATGCTGTGATGGCTCTGCATGCCTGCTTTTACTCCCAGTGTGTGTCAGAAGTTATAAGTAAAGCAAATGGAGCTACTTGAAATATGATTGTTTTGAAGTGGAACAACCTCAGTTTTTCCTCATTGAGCAGAGAACTTGTTTTCTGAAATTTTATTTTTATGCTGGAATGTGTAGAAAAAGGGATGAAGTCTTCCATCTGCAATGAGTTCTGTTTGGTGCTGTCTGGCAACCTCATGGAATGATAAAATCCCAGGATTGAAAGTGGCCTCATGAATCATTGAGTTCAGCACCCTGCTCAGGGTATGATCTCCATTGAAAGCATTTTCGCCAGGGAGCTATCGATCTCACCTCCCACTAGGCAATTGTTTCCATGGCTGAACTGCTCTTGTTTCAAAAAGTTCTTTCTAATGTTCTGTTGAAATATTCCCTCCTGTAACTTCAAACGGTTAGACCTGGTCTATTCTCTGGAACACCGGAGAACAAACCTACCTTCTTCTCCCAGTGACAGCCTTTGAGGCATTGAAAGAGTACAAGCATGGCTTAGGGAGCAGGGCATGTTTAGCCAGGAGGAGATAAGGCTAAGAGGTGACAAGAGGGTCATCTTTAAAGAACTGAAAGGATGATGTATTGAGAAGGGAGACAGCTTGTTTACTGATGCTCCAGAGACTAAGACAAGAAGCAATGGATTCCAACTACAAGAAAGAGATTCCACCCAAACATTAGGAAGAACTTACTGATGGTAAGAACTGTTCCATAATGGAATATTCTGCCTTAGAACATGGTAGAATCTCTTCCTTCTTTGGAGATTTTTTAAAGAGGGTTGGGTGACCATCTGTTGGAAGTGCTTTGATTTGGGTCTTCCAGTATGGCAGGGGGTTGGATTGGATGTTTCTTGTGATCTCTTCCAATCCTGTCTTAGGATAAGGGATGCTGAGCCTGTACAGTCAACCCTTCATATTTGTTGGGGTTATGGGCACATAATCCCCATGAAAGTGAAAAATAAAGAAATAGCTATTTTTTTAAAACCTGAGAAAGCACTTCTCCAGGAATTTCTAGATTTTCAAGTACAGCTCTGGTCAACTTCTGCTGGAAGTGGACTATAGTCACATTGGAGGACCTACAGATTACCAGAGAAGCCTTATCTCTAGAAATATCTAGGTCTTCCAGCATGACTAGAGGAAGTTGACCAAAGAGTCACACTGGAGGACCTAAAGATTTCTGGAAAGAACATTTTAAATCAAATCTGTAAATGATCACATCCTCAAATGTCAAAACTGAAGTGTGGAGGGACACCTGTATTCTCTTTGATAATTGATCTTTTTCTCATAGTAGTGTTATATCTTGAAAGCATCTATTTCAGTGGTTCTCAGTCTGTGGGACCCCAGATGTTTTGGCCTTCAACTCCCAGAAATCCTAACAGCTGGTAAACTGGCTGGGGTTTCTGGGAGTTGTAGGCCAAAACACTGGCTGAGAACCACTGATCTATTTTCCCTTTTCTCACACTTTGCCTCATATTCTCATTCATATATTTCTTTTCTTTTCCAGCGATGATCTTTTCTCCCTTCCCTATTGCCCAGGGAAGACATTGGTGGTTGGAGCTTCCTATGTGGCCCTTGAGTGTGCTGGCTTCCTTGCAGGCCTTGGCTTAGATGTGACGGTCATGGTGCGCTCCATTTTCTTGAGAGGTTTTGATCAGGATATGGCAAACAAAGTAGGAGCCTACATGGAAGAACATGGTATCAAGTTCATTAAAAAATATGTGCCAAAGAAGGTAAGAGTTAGAAATTACCTCTGCTCATTGCATCAGCAAACATATAATTTTAAAAGTAGCTTTAACATAAATATTTTAAAAAGAAAAACAGGTTGTCTTGGGACTTCGGGAAAAAATACTGATTTCTCTGTTCCTTTTGCAAAATCACAGTTTCTGGATTGGGTTTATAGAAGTTGTAGTTTAGCACTTCTCAAGAGTGATGAAGATCTAACCTTACGGCAAGCTAGATTATTTGTCCATCTAGCTCTAACGTGCAGCCTTCCAGTTGCATTTCTCAGCAATCCATCAGTGTAGTCATAGAATCATAGACTCATAGAGTTGGAAGAGACCTCATGGGCCGTCCAGTCCAACTACTGCCAAGAAGCTGGAAAATTGCATTCAAAGCACCCCCAACAGATGGCTATCCAGCCTCTGCTCAAAAGCTTCCAAAGAAGGAGCAGAGAGTTCCACTCCTGAACAGCTCTCACAGTCAGGAAGTTCTTCCTCATGTTCAGGTGAAATCTCCTTTCCTGTAGTTTGAAAGCATTGTTCCATGTCCTAGTCTCCAAGGCAGCAGAAAACAAGCTTGCTCCTTCCTCCCTATGACTTCCCCTCATATATTTATACATGGCCCTCATCATGTTTCCTCTCAGCCTTCTCTTCTGCAGGCTAAACATGCCTAACTCTTAAAGCCGCTTCTCATAGGGCTTGTTCTTCAGACCACTGATCCTTTGATTCGCCCTCCTCTGGGACACATTCCAGCTTGTCAACATCTCCCTTCAATTGCAGTGACCAGAATTGGACACAGCATTCCAGGTGTGCTCTGACCAAGGCAGAATAGAGGGCTAGCATGACTTCCCGGGATCAATGGGGAAGAATACTGTGTCAATGGGGAGAAATACTGCAGATTGCATTTGAAAAGCCATATGGCCTGCTCGCTTCCCAATATTGTCTCCTCTAACCAATGGCAACAGTCCAGGATCTCAAGTCAAGCTTAATAATTTTCAGTAGAGGTTTCAATCTTGGGACTTGCTTCATGCAAGGTAGGAATTATTGTTGTTGTGAGGCTTGGAGTTGTTTCTATTGTATAATAATCCTCATGAGTTTTTCTGAGTCTAAGTGTATGTGCCCTTCCCAATGTGTTTTCATGGCTGGGCAGGGATTCACACCCTGTTCTCCAGAGTTTATAGTTCAATGCAGGGCCGTAGCCAGAAAAAAATTTCGGGGAGGGTTGAAAATTTCGGGGGGGGGGGGGGGTTTGAAAATTTCGGGGGGGGGGGGTTGAAACCTGCCTCCTAGCTCACGCTGAAGCAAAGAGCACAGCAGGGGGCAGAGGAGCCTTCAATAGCCTGCAGCTCCGCCCCTGTCAACCACCTCCACCAAGTCTGGCCTCCTTAATGAGAGCATTCAACACCCCCCCAACTTGGTTGCTTCACTACATCGGCTATTGCTGCAAGTAATGACAGTGTGAATAAATTGTCAATATTTGCTTGAGATAGTGCTTGCAGTTCTGGAGGGACTCTTAATTTTTTGCGTCTCATAGACTTAGCATGGGGATTTGGTTAACCAGTTAAAATTCATGAGTAAACCAGGTTTTTTTTTTAACCTGAAAAATTTCGGGGGGGGGTTGAACACTAACCCCCCCCCCCCTCGCTACAGGCCTGGTTCAATGTTCAAACTATTGTGCTGCAGAAGTCCCTGTTTTGGGCTATGTGAGAATGTATAATCAGTGTGTTTTGAGATGCCAGAAAGTGTTGAGATGCCAGAAAGTATAGTGGTTCCAGATTGATTTTGGGAGCAAGTTACAAACCTTTACGAGGAAGCAGGTGAATTTAGTTTAGTGGTGAGGGACAGTCATTTCACTGTCTTTTCCCACTCAGTTCTCTTTTTAATCCAATGTGCAGTTGCAGTGTCAATGCATGCTACTAGGGTTGAAACATCAGCTACAGAAATGATTCCATTGTGACTATTAAAGGCAGCAGGAAAAACCCATTTGAAAAAGATCTGGTTGGCTTAGTAAGCATCTCAGTCCCAAATGGCTTTTTGACAATTTTTGGCATCTTCCCTGGAAAAAACCAGACAAAATACCCTCCTTAATTTTGAGAGCCCATTAGTTTTTTCAGTGCCCAAGAGGAGAAAAAAAATCACACAGTTCTGTCTGTCCTGAATTTAACGGACACAAAACCCGTCAAAATAGCTTCCAAACTATTAATGCTCTGCTGGATCTTATTTATTCTTTCAACGTCTGTCTTTCTATGTTTTCACCCATCAAAGACAGCGTACTACATACAATCAAATGGAAATCACATAAATAATAAAGTAGGGATTTTAAATGGTTCTGCTTCTTTGTCCAATGGTAAGGGGTTTTCTCCTGAGAGAGGAACAGCGCCTGTGTGTGCCATGGAGGGAGAAGAAGCATTTCCTGTAATGATTAATACATAATTATTTTCCCGTAAAGGGTAATGGTTTTTCAATTTTGGTGAGACATTAAGCCAGTACATTATAGATTTTCAGATATTCAGAGCGGAACTTTAAATAAAGTAGATTCAGCCTGTGTTTTCTCTTAGCAAATCAAGTTGTTGGGAGGGAAGGAAAACCTTCTGTGTGTCTAGCCATCCTTTGCTGAGCAAATTGTGCCTTGCCTTCATAAACAATTTGAAATTCATCAGAAAGGCACAGTGTAAAAAACACAGAGAATGCCATGCTTTTTTCTGTGCATAAATTATATCCATTGCTAGCATAAAAAGGAAAAACATTTTTTCTTTCATCAAGCTGGATTTAAGCAGTGCATAGCAGGTGAGTCTTATTATTATCCTTGCTCTTGAAGTGCAGTTTATTCTAATAGAGTTGGAAGAGATCACATGGGTCATCCAGTCCAACCCCCTGCCATGCAGGAAAAACACCATCAAAGCACCCCGAAAGATGTCCATCCAGACTTTGTTTAAGAGCCTCCAAGGAAGGAGCTTCCACCACACTCTGAGAGTTCCACTGTTGAACAGTTCTTGTAGTTCATGGTGAGAAACTTTTTGAGTTTGGTGGCCAAGGACCAAAAATGTTACTAGATCTGCACAAGAGAAACAATTTAGGTGTGTTTTGATCTCTATAATTTGTTTTCAACCTTATTTTAAACATTAAGACAAACAGAAGTTAACTTCTGGTTGGCTTCCTATTTTAATGAGTCCCCTCTTGTCTCAAAACAGATTGAACAGTGGCCAAATTACGAGCAAACACCCCCATATTTTGAGCCAAAAATGTTTTTAAGTATTCAAAAAATGGGAGGGTGCTGCTGCTGGCTTCAAAAAACTACTTTGAGAGGCCTCCTGATATAATGGGATGATTCAGAGAGGAAAATGAGGGAATATATGCACCGGTATTCTTGGCCATGGCTATATGTGATGTTTCAAAGCTTGGTGGGGTGGGGGTAATACTTTCTGGATTCCCAGTATCAGCATTCCCAATAGTGTCTTCAGAGGATTTGGAAAGCTTTAGTCCAACCCTACCTTTTCTAAGTTATTAAATGATATGGTAGGGTATGAAACATGCAGCATGATTTGCAATTGGATCAGCAAAGTTGAATGAATAGTCATACTTATGGGGTTTTGGCTTCAGACTCCATCTAAGGTAGCCAGAAAACAGGAGAGGGCTCCCATACCTTTAATGCTTGTGTAGAGGATGGAATTTCATCAGGAATTGATGCCAAGTAACTTCATCTGAAATTCCTTTATCAACTCAACCATGAAAGATCCAGGAATGCTCTTCAGATTTTGGTCTGGCAAACTTATTCTCATCTATATCAGTGCTGCGTGTTTTGGGAAAGGGTAATGGTTAGAACTGTTGTTCATATATTTGCTGGATCATGGCTGCATGTAGCTACCAGGAAGGGACTACCTTGGATTTCCTTCAAGGAGGTTCATTTGATGCATCATATACATGAAGGCATTAGATCAAGGGTTGGAAATGTGGCCTTAGATGTTGCTGGACTTCTGTCCCAGTCACCAACATGGCCAATCATGATGGGACTCAGGGCTCAAGAAGATCTGAAGAATCACAGCTTTCCATCACCATCAATGCTTTCATTACTATCATGAACAAACCCAAGCCATGCTTATTTTATTCTCTTAAACATAAATTTTAATTATATTTACCCAACAGTGCTGGGTTTTGCATTGTTCTGCTGCTTTGCTTTAGTCTTGCTTGTTTTAAGATGCCTTTTGCTAATTGTTTTTTAATGTTTGTTGTAAGCTACCTGGAGGATTATTTTAATAGTTGAAAGGCGGGGAAAGGAGGAAAAGGTCTTTAATGGCCCCAGGACACTGCAGTAGGAAGGCTTGAAAGAGAGAGTCTTTCTTACAGTCTCTGTGGTCCAGAGTAGTTCTTAACTGAGTTCCTAATTAAGCCCATGCCGAGGTCTCATCATCAAACCAGCATGTGTACAGAATTTGCTGAGATGGGTATTTCTTGATCACATTGCCTACCATATCCTGGAAAGAGCTGAAATAATAAATCTCCATATTGCTACGCCATGTAGCAAAGTCATGTACAGTAGACCTGAGTTTTGTTTAAGCTTGGCACTGATTTGCCATAGATGTATAGAGTCAGTGTTGGTTTAAGGCAGTGGTTCTCAACTTTCCTAAAGCTGCAGCCCCTTAATACACTCATGTCATGGTGACCTCCAACTATAAAATTATTTTAGTTGCTACTTCATAACTGTAATTTTGCTATTTTTATGAATCATAATGTAAATATCTGATATGCAGGATGTATTTTCATTCACTGGACCAAATTTGGCACAAGTACCCAATACACCCAAATTTGCATACTGGTGGGGTTGGGATGGGGGGTTGATTTTGTCATTTGGGAGTTGTAGTTGCTAGGATTTATAGTTCACCTACAGTCAAAGAGCATTCTGAACTCCACCAATGATGGAATTGAACCAAACTTGGCACATAGAACTCCCATGACCAATAGAAAATACTGGAAGGGTTTGGTGGGCATTGACCTTGAGTTTTGGAGTTGTAGTTCACCTACATTCAGAGAGCACTGTGGACTCGAACAATGATAGATCTGGACCTAACTTGACACGAATACTCAGTATGCCCAAATGTGAAAACTGGTGGAGTTTGGGGAAAATAGAGCTTGACATTTGGGAGTTGTAATTGCTGGGATTTATAGCTCATCTACTATCAAAGAGTATTCTGAACCCTACCAATGATAGAATTGGGCCGAACTTCCCACACAGAACCCCCATGACCAACAGAAAATACTGTGTAGTCTTTGGTGACCCCTCTGACACCCCCTAGTGACCCCCACCCTCCTCAGGTTGAGAAACACTGGTTTAGGGAAAGCAGATAATGCTATGTAAAATGGACTAAATAATAGGAAGTACTGGGAGATCTACAAGTCAGGAAGGAAGGTTTTGATGAGTTTAGTGACCGCAGAAATTATAGTTGCTAAAGCTTTTTCTGCCACAAAGATTCAGGCATTCCTTTTGGCCAAGGCACTCAGCATTTTGTGTGATTAAAGGGCTTTCATTACAGGAAGTGTGCTAGTTTGTACTCTCAAAGTGGCATTTCCATTTGTTAATAACCTTTAAATATTCTAATTTTTCTAAAAACCGGGCTTGTCTCAGCTTCTGTGGTCTTTGTGTTTGAATCTGGATGCTGTAGCATAAATCGATGGTGAAGGCAGCAACCTTACTTTATTATATTCATTTCTTACGCAGTGATGTTCTAAAAGAACTCTCATATAGTTGTCATAAAAATGATGTATTGATTTGTCAACAGCAAGACTTCGCACACTATGTATGAGGTTAACACTGAGGAATGCTTAACTGCACCCGCCTCGCAGCTTATATCTCTCAAGTCCCATATAGCCATTATTATTTTTCTCTGAAGATTGTATTGAAGCATGTGGTGTCAATTTAGAGCTTTTTGTTAAAATCCTCTCTATATATAACAGGTTTGTCTTTTCCTTTTATAGTCATTCCATACTGATATCAAGGTCAAACTGAGTGTGATTTGGGGCATCTACCCTTGTTTCATCAAGGGTCTGCTTCCCCAATTCACATATAAAGTTGAAGGTGACGTAATCTGGAAAATTTAGTGATCATGTGTGCATCCCATTTTAGTATCCCTGTTACCAGAGTGATGCTCCCATCTGAGGCAGCTTATATTTAGGACCTCATGAAAAGGCAGTAAATTGCATTTTTATTGTATCATAACAGTAAATAAAGAATAACACTCAAAAACAGGGGAATTCCAGACAAGAAACAATCAGGACCAACAAATCACCTTCCAACAAAGGATTCCCCCAGGCAGTAAGAAGCCAGACTTTGTAAACTTCAAGGCCATTAAATGCTATTTAAGGTGGCCAATTGCAACATTCACACTTGCCTCAAATTGACAAGAGTTCTTTCTCCCACCCTGGACATTTCACAGATATATAAACCCCATTTGCCTAGTTTCCAACAGGCCTCACAACCTCTGAGGATTCCTGCCATAGATGCAGGTGAAACGTTAGGAGATAATGCTTCTGGAACATGGCCATACAACAACCCAGTGATTCCAGCCATGAAAGCCTTCGACAATAAATTGTATTTTTACTGCCATAGATGTTGTAATGCTTCTGTTTTTTTTCCTGCTGACTTGGTCATATACATCTGGCTCTGTGGAAGGACACCGTGGAGAAGATTTCAGCTCTGCTAACCTATTATCTTTTTGATGTTAACATTAGATCTCCCACCTCAAGTGGTACTTAATTTATACACAGGCAAAGGAGGCATCCAAATGGTGGACATGGTTACCCCCATTATGTCTGAGATGTTCTCCTGAAATGTTCATACAAGCACATCCTGAGATTAAATGTGAATAATTTTGGATCTTAGTAATTTTGGTGGTGGCCCAGCACAAACTTGGACATTGGTTCTCTTTATATTTAGAATCGTAGAATAATAATGTTGGGAGAGATCACAAGGACCATCTAGTTCAATGACTTGCTGTGCAGGAATTTAAACTGCTGGGTTTTCACTCTTCGCTATCGTTCCAGGAATTTAGTCCAAACAGTGTGCCTTTTGAAGGATTTGATGGGTTCAGAATCAAAGTACAGTAGAGTCTTGCTTATCCAACCTTCGCTCATCCAACTTTCTGCATTATCGAACACAATCTGTCTCCAGCCCGGATCCACAACTGTTTCAATACATTGCAATGTTTTGGTGCTAAATTTGTAAATACAGTAATTACTACATAATGTTACCATGTATCAAACTGATTTTTCTGTTGATTTGTCATAGATCATGATGTTTGGGTGTTTAATTTGTAAAATCACAACATAATTTGTCGTTTAATAGGCTTTTCCTTAAACCCTCCTTATTATCCAACATTTTCACTTATCCAATGTTCTGCCAACCTGTTTGGATAAACAAGACTCTACTGTATTCTAATATTAGGTGATAGAAGAGTGAAAATAAACGTCTGTTTTGGCGATATGGACAAATCTATCTGCTTCTCCCATATGAATAATTTTCATATTTTCCTTTTGCAGATTGAACAGATCAAGAAAGGAACTCCTGGACTACTAAAAGTCACAGCTCATGCTACAGAGGGTTCTGAGATATTTCAAGGGGAATATAACACGGTAAATAATTTGCATTGATCTTTTTATATCAGTTAAACTGCATCAATGACTTTGCAAACTTTACAGCAGTGGTTCTCAACCTTCCTAATGCCTCAACCCCTTAATACAGTTCCTCATGTGGTGACCCCCAACCAAAAAATTATTTCATTGCTACTTCATAACTGTAATTTTGCTACTGTTATGAATTGTAATGTAAATATCTGATATGCAGAATGTATTTTCATTCACTGGACCAAATACGACAGAAATACCCAATATGCCCAAATTTGAATACTGGTGGGATTGGGGGGAGGGTTGATTTTGTCATTTGGGAGTTGTATTTGCTGGGATTTATAGTTAACCTACAGTCAAATAGCATTCTGAACTCCACCAATGATGGAATTGAACCAAACTTGGCACACAGAATTCCCATGACCAACAGAAAATACTGGAAGGGTTTGGTGGGCATTGACCTTGAATTTTGGAGTTGTAGTTCACCTACACCCAGAGAGCACTGTGGACTCAAACGATGATGGATCTGGAAAAGACTTGGCACAAATACTCAATATGCCCAAATGTGGTGGAGTTTGGAGAAAATAGAGCTTGACATTTGGGAGTTGTAGTTGCTGGTATTTATAGGTCGCCCACAGTCACAGCAGGAGGAGGGCTTTTGGTGGGAGGATTCACTGTCTTTCCAAGAAAAGAAGAGAAGAACAGGCGGAGAGATCTTCAGCCTTCTCTGCCAAAGGGGTTCCTAAGACCATCAGAAAGGTGTGTTTTCTGATGGTCTTTGGCGACCCCTCTGAACCCACCCCCATTTCAACCCCCCACAGGTCCCGACCCCCATGTTGAGAAATGCTGCTTTACAGGCTTAGTTTTCCTTTATACAAGGAGAAGTTGTTATTTTGTTTCTCTGTGTCTGTGTGTGTATGCAACTATGTTGTGTGGAAAATATATGGGGACTAAGAATTGGGCTGTAGCTCTATTCATTTATTCATACGATTGTAACAAAACAGCAGCCTGCATAATTGTCTGAAGGACAGACAATTGCCACTTTGCTATTTCTCTAGGATTGCAATGCTATGATTACTGTTTGTGTGTCAGAGCTGTGTGAACCTGTCCCATATACTCTTCACATTATAATTAGTTCTGTGGATGCTGTATCTTTGAAAAGATTCCCTCGAAGTTATCTCAATGCAATATAATGAATCTTATCGCAAAACATCAGAATGAAACAAAGCCAGCCTCCTAACACAAAGTGCTGATGTTCTGCAGGTATTGCTGGCCATAGGAAGGGATGCCTGCACAAGAAAAATTGGCTTGGAGAAAGTTGGAGTGAAGATCAATGAAAAGTAAGGCTAAATCTCTTGGCCGTCTAATTACTGCTTCTGTGTGGTTTGTGTTTTTGCAACATCAATCTCATAGACTTAAAGGATTTAATTTGTCAGGGAGGTATAAATTTCCCCTCTAACACATTTCTGTTGGAAGGAGGAGGAATGCTTTCATATATAGCTTCTCATTACTGAATGAGCCAAAAGGGCAAACTTTGCCATAATTGAAATGGTAGCGATTAACATTCTGGCAATCAAAGTGTCTGCAACATCTTGCTGCCTATTGCATGAAATAAAAAAAAATCTTCATATTAGTTGCTACTGTGAAATGGAGCCTTTGTGCTCCATTCTGTTGCCAGTTTCAATGCAGGATGGGGTTACATCAAGAGGTGAATTTGAAAAATGCGGCTTCTTTTGTCACAGCGCTGCAGAAATGAAGCTTCGGAGACTTCTGCTCACATGTTAAAGGCAAAGAAATCCTGCCATAGTATCTCTAATAACCCCTTCTCTTTTTATTCAGTTTGTATCTCACTGCAGTATTCTGCAGAATAGTGTGACCTGACAGGCAAAGTTATGCCTGACTGATGTTCAAATAACTGAACATCTTTAGCAAAAAATGAAACGCGCACAAAACCTTTCACTGTTAGCAAAAAATGTTTCATGATATACAGGAGTAGACTTCAGAAGAAAACAGCATCCAGCAGGTTTGAAACCAGAGAGAAGAAAAAGCCTGAGCAAAGAAACATGTCATCAAACCTGATCTAAAACATCCAATAGATCAGTGTTTCTCAACCTTCCTAATGCTGCGACCCCTTAATACAATTCCTCATATTGTGGTGACCCCCAACCATAAAATTATTTTCGTTGCTTCTCCACAACTGTAATTTTGCTACTGTTATGTATCGTAATGTAAATATTTGATATGCAGGATGTATTTTCATTCACTGGACCAAATTTGGCACAAATACCCGATATGCCCAAATTTGAGTACTGGTGGGGTTGGGGGAGGGGGGGAGGTTGATTTTATCATTTGGGACTTGTAGTTGCTGGGATTTATAGTCAACTTACAATCAAAGAGCACTCGGAACTCCACCAACGATGGAATTGAACAAAACCTTGCCCACACAACTCCCATGACTAACAGAAAATACTGGAAGGGTTTGGTGGGCATTGACCTTGAGTTGTGGAATTGTAGTTCACCTACATCCAGAGAGCACTATGGACTCAAACAATGATGGATCTGGACCTAACTTGGCACAAATACTCAATATGCCCAAATGTGAATACTGGTGGAGTTTGGGGAAAATAGACCTTGATATTTGGGAGTTGTAGTTGCTGGGATTTATAGTTCACCTACAATCAAAGAGCATTCTGAACCCCACCAATGATAGAATTGGGCCAAACTTCTCACACAGAACCCCCATGACTAACAGAAAATACTGTGTTTGTTGATGGTCTTTAGCAACCTCTCTGACATCCCTTTGTGACCCCCCCCCCCCGGGGTCCCAATCCCCAGGTGAGAAACACTGCAATAGATGCTGATCCTTGTTAAGCAATAAGGGGGTGGTGGGGGTGTTCTGAAATGTAGGTGCTGTCATACAAATAAGGAACTAAGTTTGGATCACAGTCAGATGATAGTACTGGCCAACACACATTTTGTTGCCTCAAATGTTAGACCTGTTTTGTCGAAGGCTTATAAACAAGACTGTGCAATTCAATCAGGATCAGCAGTTATGTTCCTTCAAGTCAATTTTGGCTTATGATGATCTTAAATCATACCTATCTTGGGTGTTTCTTGGCAAGATTGGTTCAGAGTGGGTTTGACCTTGCCTTCTTCTGAGGCTGAGAGAGCATGACTTTCCCCAATGTCATGCAGTGGATTTCTATGACCAAGCAGGGATTTGAACCCCGGCCTCCCAGCGTCCTAGACCATTTTGTTCAAATTACAAAGCCTGTTACATACAGGAGTGATGTTGTTTCTTCTAGGGATGGTAACATAGACTAATTTTAACAACATTCTGATATTTTAATATACAACCTATAGTTCTCATAATGTCCTATCCTTTTCTCTTCCCCTCTCTTAATGCAATCCTTTAGAACTGGAAAAATCCCTGTCAATGATGTGGAGCAAACTAACGTGCCATATATCTATGCCATTGGTGATGTGTTGGAAGGCAAACTAGAGCTCACCCCAGTGGCAATTCAGGCGGGTAGGCTGCTAGCACTGAGGCTTTATGGTGGATCAAAGAAGAAGGTAAGGAAGTAGTTGGTTCACAGTTAATTAATAAATCACATTAAACCAATGGTTCTGAAGCCAAATAAATAATGACAATTTTAAAAAATCTTAGTGTCTCCAAATTCTGTTCAAAACTGTTAGACTTACAATTTCCAGAAAGTAGCCATGTTAGCTAGGGGATTCTGGGAGTTATTTTGAAAATGAATATTTTTCATGTATGCTTTTAAGATGAGGCATATATGTATTGCAACAAATATTAACTTAGACCAGTCTTGGGTCACTTTTGTTGGGGGTTGTAAATGTAAATTAACAGAAGCTTTACCACAGTTTCTGAACCAAGATATACCCTGCAGTATAATAAAGTGTCACTCGGGCATGTGTAACAAGTAACAGTATCTTCAATTCAAAAGATCAAACAGGGCAACAATATATAGAGCAGTCTCTCTGAATTCACACAGAGAACAGAGGGAATAAACAGTCCTTTTTAAACAGTCTTTAAAATACGCTTCATGCCTTAGAAATAATCAGGCTTCAGAGAGTTGGCAGCCATTTCCTTCCTGGCTGTTTTCAGTCAGCGCTCTCTTCACTCTCTGAGATGAAAAATGGCAGTTAAAACCGTTTGTCTCAGCAGCAAGCCAGAGACAGCGGCCTATCAGAACTCTGGCTCCTGGAATGCTCAGCCAATCAGCTGACAACACATGTCTTTCCAGTCAACCCACTACATCATGTCTCTTTACAAATCCCCACAACTTTGAGTGCTTTGGTCCACAACTGCGCATCTGCCCAAGCAGTGTGGTCCATGGGAATATCAGGAACTACCTGAAATATCTGGAAGAATCCAGGTTGGGAAAGCTAGATTTAGCCCAGGAATGATTAGCAATTGGGAATCAGAAGGCACGATTTCCTCCAGGAGATGTTATACATCTGACCCTCCATCCTTGGGATATGGAGAGCATGTTTGCCAAATTTTGGAATATATATGGAAAGAGGCATCTCCTTGAAGTTTGCAGCTGACCTTTACATTACAAATAGGCATTCCAAAAGGTACTAAATATGTAGTATCATCCACAAAATGGTTGCCTCATTAATTGAGAGAAATTGCTTTTTTATCAGTGAGAGTTTTGAACTGATCAAACCCTTTTGTTAATTTAATATCGCTCTGTAAGTTTCACCACATGCTGTCATTGCTCTTAACTTTGAGAGCTCACGTTCTTGAGATTGTACTGAATGCAATTTCCAGAAGACAGCGTGAGCAATAGATATGAAAGTGACAAACACTCATCCTCCAGTGGGTTGTTGTAGGTTTTTTCGGGCTGTGGTTTTGGTTGAACCTAATGGTAGATTGTGAACTATCCCCATCCAATCAAAACAATGTAAGCTGTTGCCACATCCCATCCCACACATTCTTGTTTACATGATGGATGACATCATGTAAACCTTCCCTTCTGTTTTATGGCTATTTTCCCATTGCTGTGGTTAGTGATAAGCATGTTCATTTCAACCCTACTGTCACAATCCCTATCTCTCCGGGAAATGAGAGTGGGAGGCCACTTGTCTATAGTGCTACTGTTGTTGGCTCCCCTTGTTATTTAGAATGCTAAAATGCTATGTTTCCTCTGTTAGGGCTTTTGTCAGATGTCAGCTTGATCCTGATAGTGCAAAGATCTGTGATACTTACAGAATTCTGTTTTTTTTTCTTGACAGTGTGATTATGTGAATGTTCCCACCACAGTATTCACACCTATGGAATATGGTGCATGTGGTTATTCTGAAGAAAAAGCAATAGAGAAATATGGAGTAAAAAATATTGAGGTACGTAGGTTTTTAAATAACAAGCTATTCAGGGATAATCCAGAAGGCGTAGTCAATAGTCCAGTCCAAAGATCCTCACCAACACATCCAAACTATACATAATCCAAAGTCAAGATCTAATACACAATAAGGCACACAAAGTCATCCAACAGAGCTCCAAACTTTAATAGGTTCCAAACATTGCTCCCAGCAAAGACCAAATCCAAACTGCCACGCTTTATGCTCTATATCACAAGTGCTCTCACCTGTTGGCCCTTCTCTGTGCCAACCGGGCAGATCTATGCAGCTGAATAACATGAGTACTCAGTTGCAGTCTTTCTGGGATACTTAACTCTGCCTCATTGCTCTCCTGATCCTGAGTCCCCCTTGCCTGAGGCATTTGGTCCTGCACTGCAGGGGTAGCTTCCTCAGTGTCAGGCTGCAGCTGTTGTTGTTCCCTGCTTTCGACTGACTCAGATGCTGGGCCTGGCAGCCCTTCATCTTCATCTCTATTGCAGACCCTGACAGTCCATAAGTCCTTCATTTCAATAGGGTTCACTTTTTCTGTGATTCTATATATCCATACAGAGTCCAGGACATATCCCCTGCAGATAGGGGGACTGCATTGTTTTCCCGTTATAGTAAAGTAACTGAGATGCCACATATATATGACAAGTTTATTCAGTCAGTAACATTTACCTATTTTTCCTTCTTACTTTTTTGGGATTTAAAAAAAAGGTTATTTGGGGGCATTTTGAGGTTTTCTTCATGATTTAAAACATTTTGCTTCCATTTAAAAGATGCATTATTTTTAGGAAAAGTAACAAAAATAAAAAAAATAAAAAGTTTATTGTACTGTCAAAGGCTTTCATGGCCAGAATCCCTGGGTTGTTGTAGGTTTTTTCGGGCAATATGGCCATGTTCTAGAGAACTCTAGAACATGGCCATATCGCCCGAAAAACCTACAACAACCCAAAAAGTTTATTAACTAATTAATTAATTTATTTATTTGCCAACCACATTCGGCCTCACAAAGGCAAAATTCAGTGCCATATTTACATGTACATATCGGTAAATAAACAACTGCATTGAAATCAACACAATTAAAAACATAAACATTAAAACATCAGTTAAAATCACAAAATCCAAATCATATTCCATGGTCAATCCAAGTAATCATTCCATTATTTGTAGTTTCTTACTGTGCTGCTTACTGACCAAAAGCTTGTTCCCATAGCCATGGTTTTAGTTTTTTCCTAAAGGTCAGGAGAGAGGAAGTGGATCCAATTTCACTAGGGAGGGAGTTCCATTAACAAAGGGCCATCACTGAGAAGGCCCTGTCTCTTGTCCCCACCAGTCACGCTTGCAAGCGGGGTGGGATTGAGAGCAGGGCCACCACCAATGATCTTAGTCTCTGAGGTGGATCATACAGTGAGATACACTCAGACAGGTAAMCTGGGCCATAACCGTTTAGGGCTTTATAGGCTAAAGCCAGCACTTTGAATTGTGCTTGGTAGCAGACTGGCAGCCAGTGGAGCTGGCGCAAGAGGGGGTTGTATGCTCTGGCTTCCAGAAACATCAGCAAGCCACTCCTCTGGACAACATAGGATTTTCAAGTGTTTCAGATTTTGGTATTCCTGATAAGGGATATTCAACCTGTATCATTGTTTTGTTGTAGTTTGCATTTTTACTATCCCTGTACACTTGTACCATTACCGAGGAGACTCTGTTGAGCAGGCAGTTTTTTAAAAAGTGAAATGAATATATTTAAGGAGCAAAACACTTCATTCAGTACAATTTTGCATTCCTAGATTTARCATAGTTACTTCTGGCCARTGGAATGGACTGTCCCATCCCGGGACAACAACAAATGCTATGCGAAGATCATCTGCCTTATTCCAGAGAAGGTAATCCTGACATTTAGTAAYCCTTTAAATGTATTGTCAAAAGCTTTCATGGTTGGAATCACTGGGTTGTTGTGTGTTTTCTGGTCTGTATGGCCATGTTCCAGAAGCATTCTCTCCTGACATTTCACCTGCATCTATGGCAGGCATCCTCAGAGGTTGTGAGGTCTTTTGGAAACTAGGAAAATGGGGTTTATATATCTGTGGAATATCCAGGGTGGGAGAAAGAACTCTTGTTTGTTTGAGGTGTGAATGTTTCAATTGACCACRTTCATTAGCATTCAATAGCCTAGCAGTTTCAAGGTCTGGCTTCCAGACCAGCATTAAAAACTCTAAAATCATAAACAGTAAATAAAGAATAACACTCAAAAACAGGGGAAATGCAGACAAGAAGCAATCAGGGCCAACTAATCGCTTCCCAATAAAGGATTACCCTATCCAGTAAGAAGCCCAACCCTGAAACTGCAAGGCCATTAAATACTATTCCACAGAAATATAAACCCCATTTTCCTAGTTTCCAACAGACCTCACAACCTCTGTGGATGCCTGCCATAGATGCAGGCGAAACGTCAGGAGAGAATGCTTCTGGAACATGGCCATACAGCCAAAAAAACTCACAACAACCCAAACCCTTAAATGTTCTTACCCCAATTTTCCACATCCTGGAGAATTTTGTAGTTCTTGTTCTTGTGTTCATTTAGCATGAATTTCATTACATAACTGTACATTAGGTGGTGCATTACATCCCTATCCAAATGCCTGGGCTGCTGCATCACCTTTAGCTATCTAATTGATAATGACAGTGTACAGCTTCCCTTGAATTTTAGATAAAAGAACTCCCTCCACCTTGACAAATGTTACCTTGGAAATATTAGCTAGATGGGAACCACCCACAGATCCAATTCTCAATTACATTCTCTTTGTAACTGTGTAATAATACCTTAGCTAAACTTCACAGTCATTAAGTGGCATTCTCTTTTATCTTCCATCAAGATAATATCTGTTTAATAGGCACTGATGCCATCATTTTCGTGTCATAGTCATGTTTGGAATCCAAAGAAAGAAATAGACCCCTGTAACCATTTCTGACTACTTTGAAAATTCAAATTGTAACAGAGTGAAGGAATTGCATGCTTAAAGAGAATAAGTAAAGAACTCCTTCTTAATCTCTTGGGTTCATGTCTCTGGCTTCCACCTTGTTTTTCCATTCATATTTTCTTATCTTGATCAGCTGTTGCTTTACTCAGACATTTATCTCATATCTGGATTCCTGAACTTGGGAGCATTGGCTTCTCAGATATAGAACTATATACAATCCAAATACTTAAGAAGCATGGTATGAATAATTTCTTTAGTCTGAGCCTATTGTCCAATGCCTAGGCACTATTTTTATAATACAATCTAAACATAGGTGGTCAAGCAGTTTAGTAACAATATTATGCATAGATCTGCTAAAGCAAACTTGGCATTATTGATTTTCCTAGGTACGTTTTCTGAAAAAAATATATTGTTAACTGTAGGAGTCATGAGGCCATGATAGTAAGATTGAAAACAATTGGGAATCAGTGTGGCTGTAAATATTCATGCCTAGTCATCCTTTTGCTTTGAAATGGTTTGCTATTCAAAGTCATGCCGTATACAAAGGGCCAGTTCTAATAGAGTGAACTGACCCTATCTGAGATTGGGGTCTGCTGCCCAGATTGGAAAAGTTACATTTTTGGATGACACTGGCTCAATGCTATGGAATCGTACGTGTTGTAGTTTATGAGGCACCAGCACTCTTTGTCAAAGCATGATAAAGATCTTGCAAAATTACAACTCTCATGATTACATAGCATTGAGTAGGAGCCCCTGGTAGTCAATGGGTTAAACCCTTGTGCCGGCAGGACTGAAGACCGACAGGTCAGAGGTTCGAATCCAGGGAGAGCGTGAATGAGCTCACTCTGTCAGCTCCAGCTCCCCATGCCTCCCACAAGGATAGTAAGACATCAAAACATCCACGTGTCCCCTGGACAACATCCTTGCAGAGTGCCAATTCTCTTACACCAGAAGCGATTTGCAGTTTCTCAAGTTGCTCCTAACATGAAAAAAAATATTACTGAGCAATGGCAGTTAAAGCGATGTCAAACTGCATTAATGCTACAGTAGAGATGCATCCTTATTCTGTTCTCCTGGTCTCCTCATGCATGGCAGACCCCCTCCCATATCATCCCCTTCTTTTTTTGGTGGAAGAAGTTTTGTGCCAAGTTTGCTTCAGAACATACAAGTAATGAATGGATGAGTTTGATATGAGGTCAGAAAATCATAGAGTTGAGAGAGACCACAAGCTCCATCCAGCCTACCTTCTATTATGAAGGAATACAAAATCAAATTACTCCTCAAACCCCTTTGGTTAATGTGATATTTAATAAGATATTGAAAAAGTTCCCTTAGTATATTTTTGGATTACATGGCTAAGCTGGCTGGAGGGTTCTGGGAGCTGCAATCAAAAAAGTAACTTTTCAAATCTCTTTTAAGCTGTAGTTCAGCTTTGCCTCTAAACCACCTCACAGTTATTTTTGGAAGCCAGAATTTTTGTTTAGGAAATAGACAAAAAGTAATATAAAGATTACTGGAAAGCAGTTTTTTTCTAAAGTTTAATCTTTTCTGTGAGACTAAATTTGTTTTCCATTTGATTAAAAAAATTAAATAAGAGCAATTTGAATGTTAACTTTGAATTCCATATTTAGGCCAAGAAAGGCCTATTCTTCTGCAAGTCTTTGTTGTGCATTCAATCCTCATAATTTATCCCAATCGAATTAAAATGTGTCCCTTGTGGAAATAACCAATTAGAAAAATGGGACTGGAAAGAGATCAGTGACAATTCTCTTGGGACTTAGTAATCCTTCAATAATCAGAAGGAAATAATTATTTCAGGCTGCCTGAATTGGGCTCTTCTTGTCTCCTGTTCTTCTTTAGATGCGTGTTATTGGCTTCCATGTGCTTGGTCCAAACGCTGGAGAAGTCACCCAGGGATTTGCAGCCGCCATAAAATGTGGCATGACAAAGGATCTTCTGGACAGTACAATAGGAATCCATCCAGTGTGTGCTGAGGTATGTATGAGCTTTGCAAAAATGCTGTCTACTTTGCTCCCTTTGGTTTATTGACTAATGTTGATGTAAAACTGGAGCAGTTTTGTTTCCAAGGTATGCATACCTTGTGCATTGATTCACAGATTCAATCAGTATGAGACATATCAAGTATTTGGTATTTTTCCTTTCAAATTATGGTTGTCTATGATCTGAGTCTGTGGATGTACAAGATGGAATGCTCTCTCTGTGGCTCACAAAGCTGGTATTTTCTCCCATTGGCAGTTCCCATGTTAGTGCAGCACCAAGGGCTTCATCACATGCAATGCCCTCTCCCCATTTTTAAACATTTCTAAAACAGTTCCTTGATATGAAGCATCATGGAGTCCCTCAAATGATGAAAACAGGCTTCCACCAGTCATCCATGATGCTTTGTCAGGACACTGTTTTAGAAGTGTTTAGAAATGGGGGGGGGGCAGGAGATGGGTAGAAATTGTCCTCTGAGCTCATGAATAGTGTGGAAACTAGAGAAAAAAGGGGGGAAGAACATGGGATGGGAACTTGTTAAATTGGCCTGTAATGAATTGCTTCAATGATGTGGAGTAATGGCCGTTCCTATAGGCGGTCTCCTACCAAGCATTGGCATTTCGCTCCCAAAATCCTGCTTCATGTGCCTGGCATGGTAATGTTTTTAAATTAATTAAACTTTAGGAATACTGCAGTTTCACAATGCCACCACTTTGTTTTTCCTATCATTTCTCAATCTTTTTCATTTTGTTTACCTTTTTCTTTAACCAACTACAGTAAGTTCTAGTGCCTAGTAGGTTTTTGACTTCTGTCACAGAGAGTAAGGAGATTGGGAGGGAAATGAGAAAAAATAGTATCTGTCTTAAGAGCAATGCCCTCTGTCTCCTTGAGAGTAAGGGGATTGGGAGGGAAAGGAAAGGAGCCCAAGCAAGTTGTGTCTGCCTTAAGAATGATGCCTTGTGTCTCATCTATGGATGGTTGAGCTAGGGGTGGGAGGATCCTATGTGATGGGGTATATAAATTCTTGGTCTTCTTTAAAGACAGAATCCCACACAAAGAAGACAATTTCCACCATTTCCCCCAGCTCTATCTGATGAAGTCTCAATCCAGGTTTAAAGGTGCTATCCAAGGTGCTGAATCCAGGAACAATAACAACACCTCTCCCCAAGATACAGGGAAAGTACAACACAGAATATAAATTTAATAAATAACTAAAGACACATAAAACCATTTTGAACACATAGATTATGAACACAAATATAAGTTTAAAATAGAAAACATCACACATTAAAATCCATACATTTAATTTCCATCGTTCAAAATTAATTATTTAAAATTGTCTGCGTCGGCCTGCTGGAAAAGATAGAGCTTAAATATTTAGACAGCAGCTTTATCACCAAAATAGAGTAGGCTTTCCACTTATGTGGAGATTAGCAGTGCAGAATCCATGTGGAAATGGAAACTAATGGAAATTAAAAATGACTGTATCCCCCCCCCCCAAGAAAATTACTATTCTAGGAATTCTTTGGCCCTCCAGAACAATTTTAGGCTCAACGTCTGGCACAAGTTAACACAGAGTTGCACTGAGGACCTAGAGATTTCTATAAAGACCATGTTAATCAAATCTGCAAAAGTAAAACTTGTCAGTGTGGAGGCCTGTCTGTAGCTGTAAACAGATCTTTTTAAAGTTTGGATCCTTTTGGGGGAAGAGCCTTGACCATTGTTGTATTTCAGTTGATTTAATTTGTTTTTAAAAGGCAGTCTGGCAGCAGTGCACTGCTTAGTGGGTAATGGATAAGAAGGCGCTTTCCAAATAACAATAGAAACTAATGGCAGAAAATGGAGTTCTTTAAAAGTAACACCAATGCATTATTTAAAGGTTAAAGTTTAAATAATATTTCTACATTCTATGCTGTCACTTGGGAAAGTGAAACAGAGGTCTCTAGCACTGAGTTCTAAGTAGTTCAGCAAACTATAAATCCCAAAATTCTGTAATATGGAGTGCTGGGTGTTAAAGTGCATCGGTTAGATACCTTCTATGAAAGAGAATTTTAGTTTTCTTAGAAGAAAATCAAGCAGACACTGTGGGCACTAGAAATATTTATGTGTATGATACATAATATACATCTAAGCTTGCTTTGAAGGCAAAGCTTAGTTGCAATTGTTGATAATTATTTATGTGACTAATACCATAGCCAACTGAAATCAAAATCTGTTTTTTTAAAATGGGGAGACATTTATCCTTGAAGTCTTTCTCTTGACCCTAACAATTAGTCTTTCTTCAAATATAGTGTTGAATCTAATCATATATAAATTGCTAAGAAAGGTGTTTTTATATTACTATAGTGCTGTAAACAGACCAAAAAATAGAGGACAACCTTTTCGTGAAAACGATTGCAGCTTCTCATCTCCACCTTAAAAGAAAATAACTAAATAAAAATAGATTGCGGCTGGGGTTATTAATATTTGAAGTAGATATACAGTCATGATGCTCCTCGCATATGGAGAGGTTGTGCTCTGTTAAATGTTCAGATCGGTGCTTTGTGCGCGAGCTTTAGCCTTATTTGCATGGCTAACATGTGCAGAGTCTCTTTTCTGCTCTCCTTTTATTCTCCCTCCGAGATTACTTTGATGCCAGCTAATTACTGTAGCTTTGAACCATTTAGACTGAAGTGGGTTTGATTTCCTGTAATCCTCCTACCTATACTTAGATGTCTGCAAAACAAAGCGAGCAGTTGTTCAATAAACCTTAACTGAAGCAACTTACCGCATTTCCTGTCATCTGCTCTTCCATTTGCTCTTCTGCTTGGAACTGGAAAGCATCCCAAGGGCAAAAGTCTTAAGCAGCACCTGCAGAGGCCAGTTCCAACCCACAGCAAAAAGTTGTTGCTTAAAACCTGTTGGTCAATCTGTCCCAAAAGCTTTCTAGCAGAGTTGGACAAAGCGTGGCTCTCCAGATGTTATTGGACTGCAGTTTCCAACAATTCCTCACCACAGGCTATACTGGCAAAGACTGATGGGAATTGCTCCACCAACATCTGAAGGGTCATGCATTGCTCACCATTGTTTTCAAGTAATCAGGGATACCATTTGACCCATTTTAGTTGACTGGTATATGGAGGCAAGTGGTTTTCTTCACGATTCTTTCCTAAGCTCAGACTTTGGTGCTGTAGGCATATAGGTTGAATCTCAACCTTCAATTAGTGATTATATACAACTGTGATATAATCATCATCATCATTATCATCATCATCATCATCATCTGTTTGTTACTCGGGCACGGCACAGTTAAAACACATAATAATAATAATAATAATAATAATAATAATAATAATAATAACAACAACAACAGCAACAGCAACAATAACAATTCTTCATTGGAACTTGTGCCACAAACACCATCTGCCTGTGACAAAGAATTGGCGGGATCACAAGCCTGAAAAAGTTACAGAAAATGAACACGTCAAACTACTCTGGGATTTCCAAATTCAGATTGACAGAGTTTTGGAGCACAATACTCCTGACCTCACAATTGTGTTAAAAAACAAAGTATGGGTTGTTGATGTTGCAATCCCAGGTGACAGCAGGATTGAAGAGAAACAACTGGAAAAACTGTCACGATACGAGGATTTAAAGATCGAATTGCAAAGACTCTGGCAGAAGCCAGTAAAGATGGTCCCAGTGGTGATCGGCACAATAGGTGCAGTGCCTAAAGACCTTGGCCTGCACTTAAAAACAATTGGCACTGAGAAAATTACCATCTGTCAGCTGCAGAAGCCACCTTACTGGGATCTGCACACATTATTCGCCGATACATCACAGTCCTAGACACATGGGAAATGTCCGACATGTGATCCCATACAATAGCCAGCAGAGTGATTTTGTCTGCTGTGGACTCATCTTGTTGTGTTTCTAATGATGATGATGATGATGTTTATTTCTATCCCACCCTCTCTCCCCAGGGACTCAGGGAAGCTTACATAATCATAAACTACATACCATAAAATGCATACATGAAAACACACTGTTACAAAGTACATATATTAAAATACATGGTGCAAGTATTAAAATATAATGCAAATACGAATAGAAGGCAAATTTACACTGCCTTCAGTTCTGTATCAAATGCTGACTGATATCACAGTATTTGCATGTTTTCTTTCGTGTACAGTACAATTGAAGGAGGTAGAAAGAGGTGCAGTTAATGTGGTATGAAAGACAGGGTCGTACTTCTATTTTTTGTAACTAGTTGATGGTTTTGGGTTCATTATATCAAAGGAAGACAAGGGCTGTCCCAAGACATATTGCTGTTTGACTCACAAGACAATATGATCTCCCTCCATTCCATGTGGGAAATTATTTGGATTAGCAATTGCACCTTATTCTAAACTCCTCCACCACATCCATGCAATTTTTGCTCCCTCAGTCATTTTAAGACCCAGAAGAGGCTTTATTTAAAATGGAAAATCACTCTCCACTACCTGTTGTAAATAAAGATACCTTCTGGATCAAAAATTGTAATAGGGAGCAAAAACAAATAGCAAAAAAAAATACCAAACTTCCTCCATCAACGTCATTTTAATAGGGAAATGTTTGTTTGTTTTGCTTTGCAAAGTGGGAGATTAACATACATTGGGTGCTTTCAATATAGCAATTTGGAACACGTAAGCTTCCTTTGGCTAAGACATAGTTATTACTCTGGCACAGTCCGTGTTAATTCCAATAGATAAAAAGTCTTTTTCTTGATTTTTGCATTTAGCTAAAGTAAATCTCCATTTTTCCATGGTGGAAATAATCGCTGACCTGCACACCAGTAGCTGCTCATTAATTCTCAGCACACTGTACTGTGCACTTCCAGACCCCCACATACCTACATGCCTACCTTCATGGAATGAGGTTTAGTGCATATAGATAAGAGGGATTTAGAGTCCAAAGTGAGTTTTTCCCCTTATTTATTTCCCTTTGCTGGATTAGAAATTCTGAGGAAGAATCAAGACCGAAGAATTGTCTGTATCATAGAGGCCTTTGGTATATGCTTAATAATGACCGTGGAGAAAGAGTTGGGCGCAAGAGATTTCTTCCCCCCCCCCTTCATGCCCCTCTATGGATTTTGCAATAAGACCTAGCTGATTAACCTCTTAGGATACAACTGCACTGTAGAATTAATGCACTTTGACACCATTTTAACTGCCCTAGCTCAGTGCTGTGGAATCATCAAGTTTGTAGTTTGTGGGGCTCCAACGCTCTTTGAAAGAGAAGACTAAAGACATTGTAAACTCCCAAGACTCCATAGTATTGATCCAGGGCAATTAAAGTGCTTTTTAATGTCAGGAGTGACTTGAGAAACTTCAAGTCACTTGGGGTGCTGGAGAATTGGTCGTCTGCACGGACATTGCCCAGGGGACACCCGGATGTTTTATCAGAGGCTTCTCTCATGTCCCCGCATGAGAAGCTGGAGCTGACAGATGGGAGCTTACCCCACTCCCTGGATTTGAACCACCGACTTTTCGGTCAGCAGTCCTGCCAGCACATGGGTTTAACCCATTGCACCATTGAGGGCTGACACGGCATTAATTCTGCAGTATAGATGCGCCTTTGCACTCATAGGCCTGCTGCAATAATTTGGAAATGACTTTGAAATAAAACAACACATGCTGGTTGTAAGTTCTATTCTATAACTGAATAGAAAAAGGTTAGGCAACATCTGGAGTGTAGAAGACATTTTGCCTCTCATATAATCTTGAAGGGCCCCATTTTCGCCCTTTTGTAAAAAATTTAAGAGTCATAGATTTGGAAGGCAATTCAAGGATCATTATCTTGCCATGCAAGAATTCACTGCTAAAGAGAGATGGCCATCCAGCCTCTGCTTAAAAACCTCCAAGGCAGGAAAGTCATAGGCCTGTTGCAATAATTTGGAAATGACTTTGAAGTAAAATGACACATGCTGATTGTAAGTTCTGCAGGGCCATAACTGAATAGAAAAAAGTTAGGAAACCTAAGTATACACAATGTTATATGAGAGCCCTCTTCTACTAAATGACATTTGCCAGTAAGATTTTGGTTGTCATGACCTGGTACTCTTGTGGGTTTTTTCTCACTAAAAACCTCCCTGGTGTATTGTTGAATGCTTTCATGGGCAGAATCACTGGGTTGCTGTGAGTTTTCCGGTCTGTATGGCCATATTCCAGAAGCATTCTCTCCTGACGTTTCACCTACATCTATGGCAGGCATCCTCAGAGGTTGTGAGGTATATTGTAAACTACGCAGGGGAGGTTTTATATCTGTGGAAGGTTCAGGGTGGGAGAAAGAACTCTTGTCTGTTGGAGGAAGCTGATGAGAAAATACAGTCTACAAACTATATAACTTGATCATTCTAGCACCCGGGTTATTATTAATATTATTAATTAATCACCAAGAGTTCTATGTCCCACCCTGGACCTTCCACCAATATATAAACCTCCATTGCTTAGTTTCCAATATACCTCACAACCTCTGAGGATGCCTGCCATAGATGTGGGCAAAACATCAGGAGAGAGTGCTTCTGGAACGTGCAGCCCAGAAAACTCACAGCAACCCAACTTCCCTGATGTCCCTAAGGGCTATGAATGTGTATTTTCACTATTTGAAAGGCCTCCTTGTGCTTTCTTAGGCCCAGATAGCTGTTTTCTGAATTAGGAACTAAACTAAAATCAACAGGGCTAGCATTGTGGAGTGACTGTGTAATCCTGGTAGCTGTGTACTAAGTAATTTTGGGCTTTGTCTAGTTCAAAGAAATCCTGTCTGACATTATCTTTTTGTTGTTCTGTTTCTCCCTCTCTTCCCGATCCCACTTTTCTTTTTAGATTTTCACTACGCTGTCTGTGACAAAGCGTTCAGGGGAAAAAATCCTCCAGAGCGGATGCTGAGGTTAAGCCCACCCGCTGTTGTCTGCCTTTGCCAGAGACTCGCTTTCATCGCCTTTGTTGGCTGACTCTCAAAAGTCAGAGGGAAGAGCAGCTTAGGAAGTAAGAAATTGCAACATCACCTATCGACTTCCACTCTCTTCAGTAGAAACCAGCTCCACCAGTAGAGCAAACAAAGAACTGGAAAAGTGAACCGGCGATGATTGAATGGCAATTGGCACAACAGTGGGACAAAACCCTTATCAAGATGATGTTGGCAAGGCATTGTTCAAGATGCTTCCATGAAGTCACAGTCTAAAACCAGTGCTTTCTGGTAGGCCGTGATGGAAAGATTGCTGGCACAACTTGAGACTTAACCCTTTTCTCCTCTCAAGATGAAGATATTTCTCACATCTCATTATGGGGTCCTGGCAAGGCATCCACATCATCTGGAGCCTGCACTCAACTAAGCCTACAGACAACTGCTTGTGTACTTGTCAAATAGTTCTAGAGAAGTGACACTCTTTCATATATTGACCTTATTTTACCCAGAACAGTAGAATAGTGTGACTTCTCAAACTTCAAAATCAAAGAACAAACACTTTTAGAAACTGTGTAATGTCAGCTACGTTGTTGAGTCAGTGCCCAAGTGAAATGTCTTCCCCCTTTGATTATATAGAGCCTTCTTTGAATTATTTATATAACAGATTCTAAAGTATACATGATTGCATGTATATGTTGAAATATTAGATAAATATTTTCTTGAAAATGTTGCCTGTTCATACATATTGTCTTTATTGAATGAAAAACAAAAGAGAACTTTTCCTCAGGTTATATTTCAGTATTATATTTACAGTGTTTTGCACCACATTTTCCACCTTCATCTGGTGTCCCAGATAGTGCAGGATTGAGCAACATACCCTTTTGGACCAATCTGATTTTGGCCATGGCTTGTTCCAAAATCTTGATATAAGCACTGTTCTTACATGCCTGCTTTAATCTTTTGTCAGAAACATCAGAATCCTAGAAATACAAGTGCCTAAAGGGTCTACAAGGGGAAACAAAGAAGGAAATTTGGATAAATCCCCTCCTTCTACTCCAACAGCCATTGTTGTAGCCTCTAAAGAAGATCAGGATCCAAACGACCGCAACAGATTGGGGAGCTGGACCACAACTAATAAAATGATTTTAAATGGAGAGGAATATAAAGTACTACACTTAGGCAGGAAAAAAATGAAATGCAGAGATATAGGATGGGTGATAAGGTAAAGATTTCCCCTTGACATTAAGTCTAATCATGTCCGACTCTGGGGGTTGGTGCTTATCTCCATTTCTAAGTTGAAGAGCTGGCATTGTCCATAGACACCTCCAAGGTCATGTGGCTGGCATGACTGCATAGTGCGCTGTTACCTTCCCGCTGGAGAGGTTCCTATTTATCTACTCACATTTGCATGTTTTAGAACTGCTAGGTTGGCAGAAGCTGGAGCTTACAGCTGGAGCTCACCCCACTCCCTGGATTCGAATCACTGACCTTTCAGTCAGCAAGTTCAGCAACTCAGCGGTTTAACCCACTGCACCACCGGGGGCTCATAGGATGGGTGATACAAGATTGAAAACAGTATGTAAGACAGGGATCTAGGAGCCTTAATAGATCACAAGCTGAACATGAGTCAGTGCCCAAAGATACATATATTGGTTTCAGTTGGATGAAAGCTCATGAATGCAAAAATATTCTTATTTAGTATTAACTCATTGTCCAGTCCAGTCAATGGCTCTACAAAGCTCCAGTTATAAAATGGACAATAGCACTATCAATAAGACTCAGGAGAGGGACAGGAGATAGATTTAGCTTTGCTACTCTATCTCCCATCCCGTCCGGTAACATATTGGAATGCTAAAAGTATTTCTTTTCTAGGGTTTCTTTCTTTTACAAACACCTTGCAGTAAGTTCTGCGCTTCACAGTTAGTGAAAAATATATACTACTCTTTCTGTTTAGGAAGCCAATTTTTACTTCCCTTTTCAAGTGGGTTAGCTTATCACCTGCTGCCACAAAGCCTAGACATGTAAACTATTGATTATGCAGAATCCCAATGTGTTTAGCAACTGTGGTTTGGGGTCTTTTCCCCCCAAGAAACACTCAACAGGTTTTTTTCTCTTCTTCTTCCAGTAATAGATTATTTTGGCTGAGTTACAGACTTTTATGTAAATATGGAACATAGGAAGTACTATCAAGAAAATAACAGAACATAGCCTTCCTGAAATATAACAGGAATGCAATTACAGTAAATCCAATGTTAATCAGAGTAAAACTAGTTCTGAAGTGGTCAGGGCTGATGTACAGAAGCTCAACATAGGGTTCTAATACTACTACTAACAACAACAACAACAACAACACTTTATTTATATTCTGCTCTATTTCCTTGAGGGGACTCAGAGCAGATTTCAACATGCTCAGATAGGCATGTTGTCTTTAATACAGTGAAATTCATTGTCTTTAATACAGTGAAATAACAATGATACAGAAATACACAGAACAAAAGTAAAGGCTTCCCCTTTCACCTCTGGCTTATGGAGGCAATGCTCAATTCTGGCCTTGGGGAGGTGTTTTTTTTTTTTCATTTTCAAGCCAAGGAGCCTGTTGTCCTGTTTGCGTTGCCAGCATGGCTGCATGAGCGCCTTTATTACCTTCCTGCCAAAGCGGTACCCATTGATCTACTCACATTTACATGTTTTCGAACTGCTCGGTTGGTAGGAGCTAGGGCTAACAGTGGGAGCTCTCCCCGACCTGTGGTTTCGAACTGCCAACCTTCACGTCACCAGTTCAGCAGCGCAAAGGTTTAACCCATTTTAACTGGGAGAAGTGTAAGGTACAAATTTAGACAGAAAAAATGGAAATGGAAAAATATAGGTTGGATGACACCTACTTGACAACAGTATATATGAAAGGGATCTGGAGTCTTAGTAGACCACAATCTGAACATGAGTCAACAGTGTAACGCAGCAGCTAAATACCAATGCAATTCTAGATGGCATCAATAAGAGTACAGTGCCTAGATTGAGGGACAAATAGTCCCATTATGTTCTGCTATGGTTAGAATACTGTTTCCAGTTCTGAACAACATGATTCAAGGATATTAATAAGCTGAAATGTATCCATAGAAGGGTGACCAAAATGACAAAGTTTTGGAAACTATGAGGAGTAGCTTAGAGAGCTGGGTATGTTTTGTCTGGTGAAGAGGAGATTAAGAGGTCTATTTAAATACTTGAAAAGCTGGTGGCATCTCTTTCTTAGAAGTTTTTAAACAGGTGGGATGGCTATCTGTTATGAATGCTTTGATTTTTTATTCCTGCATGGCAGTTGGACAGATAGCCCTTGGGGTCTCTTCCACTGCTGTGTTCTATACTTTCGTTTCCACTTGAACATTTAAACCACTTTAAACCACTACTAATACTTTCAGAACACACGATGATAAAACATCTGGGTGTCTCCTGGGCTACGTCCTTGCAGATGGCAAATTCTCTCACACCAGAAACGACTTGCAGTTTCTCAAGTCACTCCTGACATGGAGAAAAAAAAAACAGTTATCTTATGCTATTTTGAGGATGGTCTCTTAGGGTCACTCAGTTTCCTGTGTGCAAAATGGGAGCTGTCACTCCTAATATATACCTTCCCTCTTCTTTCTTGAACCAAATACTCCATGACTTTCTATTTTGCAAACTGAAATATGCAATGATAGCTAGATGACAATGTCATTTCTTTGATATGGGCATCATCCATACAGCCACTTAATAACAGGTACAGTGCCCAATGTGGTTAGCACTTATTGCGCAGTGTGTAACTTGGCTAATGTTTGAAGCTGGGACTATTCTCCACTGTTATGTGATCCGCCTGGTTACAGGCTGCCACTCATTTCATGCAATCTAGATCTTGTAGTTTCATATTCAGAATTTAGAAGCTTAATTTTCTTTGTGAAATATATAAGAGTAGCTTTACTTAGGAGCACCTAGTGGCACAGTGGGTTAAACTGCTGAGTGGCTGAACTTACTGACTGAAAGATCGGTAGTTTGAATCCGAGGAGTGGAGTGTGATCCTGCTGTTAGCCCCAGCTTCTGCCAACCTAACAGTTCGAAAACATGCAAATGTTGGTAGACCAATCGGTACCGCTTCAGTGGGAAGGTAAGCAGTCATGCTGGCCACATGACCTTGGAAGCATCTATGGACAACGCTGGCTCTTTGACTTAGAAATGGAGGTGAGTACCACCCCCCAGAGTCGGACACAACTAGATTTAATGTCGAGAGGAAACCTTTACCTTTACCTTATTTAGCTTTACTTAGAACAGTTGTACATAGTTGACACATAGTCCAATGAAAGGGAAAGACAGAAGATAAATATGACTGCAGGAAGAGAATGAGTATGGAAAAACAAACAAAGATAGCAAACAATAACATGCAAACTAGCAGTTCAAGAGCATAGGCATGTAAATTGTCATTCTTACAATTGGTTGCAAAGAAAATTTCAGTACTGAGCCAGATGGAGTTTATACTTTGTGGTTGGCATTTTGCAGTGCCCTCAGGACCACTGTGGACATAACCAGGGCTGTAAATGCACATGGAAAGGGAGAGGAAATGCCTCGGATAGCTTTTGGCACAAACGCGGGAGGAGGAGTCTGCACAATCTTCTGGCACAAAAGCTCAATTTTTTTTCAATTTAAAGAAAATTCACACTGGAAAAGCAGCAAAATGTAGGAATTGCAGTTTGAAAAAATAGCTTCAGATTCACATGAGCTGTACTTGAGCAATTGGCTTCCATCTTGCTCTGTCTATGCCTCAGGCAACAAGACACTTTGGGTCATCCCTGATTATTATGCAAAATATTACCCAATCAAGTTGGCATTTGCTTCAAAACCACTCCTGCCAGTTTATTTTAAAACAGGGAAACCCACCAAGCCTAAGAAATGATCAAAACTATAATTCTTGAACTCTCTTGCGAGCCTCACATACAAAGCTAAACTTTTTTTTAAAAAAGACTTTATTTTGAGTCAGAACAACCTTTTTGAAGGTACAAAGTGAATATTTCTGCTCACTATTAAAACTAGCTATTACAGATTCAAGAGTGCTAATTTGAAATGTCTGGCTATTTCTCTTTCGCTCTTTAAGTAAACCATTTGATGGAAGATGTGGGCCATATTGAGCACTGAATATTCTAAGATGCCTTTGAAGGTAACCTGTTTGAAGCAGACATAAGAAATGAAGTGGAAGAGTTTCGTAGCATTATATCTGTATTCAAAAACTTAAATTCCTTATGCTTATACTAGAAAAGTGACATTTATTACTCCAAATTGGTGTGCACATTTGTGTTCCATTATTGCATAAAAACTTACTGAAATGCCGTTGAAACATTATTTTCAATATTTCACTTCCTCCACCCTTTGTATTCCAAGCTCAGGAGAGAAGGAAACACTCTTTGGGAAAGTTCCATTATTCACCCACTCACCATTAAAGGGAAATGAGCAAGGTTGAAAAGAAATGCATACAACACAGAGAAGAAGCCTATAACAAACAAACTCACTCTCTCTCTCTCTCTCTCTCTCTGTGTGTGTGTGTATAGAGTATTCTCAAGAGCACTTCTTCTTAAACTTTGGGCCCTGACCACAAATGGGGTACCCCTTAGCATACAAAAAATTTGGCAGCATTACAAGGTTTCTGAATTCCAGCCATTTACACAACTCCATTTGCAACAATGTGCGGTGTTTACACATTGACTCTG